TTCACTCCAGCCGAACCAGGGCCCCTCTGCCCGGCATTTCTCCACCCACAGCCCATCTCCCTACTGAGACTTTGCCCACTGTTCCGCACACATCCCCTCGGGCTGGATTTCCAAATCCTTATCCTGAAACTTCCCCAACCTCTCCTCCTAAAGGTATTTCAATAATTACCTCCCTGACGCCTGCATTTCAAAACCCTTATCCTGAAACTTCCTCTAATCTCTTCAGGCAACAGCAGCCTCTCCTCCTGCAAGTATTTCAACAATTACTGCAGCTGCCTCTGAGCCCAGAGCCTTATTGCGTCAAGCAGACTGGATCCTGCTAGTGCTGCTGATGGATGGCCTCTCCGTCCCAGGCAGTGAGCAACTCTGGGGAAGGGAGCCCGTCTGTACTGTCTCCAGAGTCGACAACAGCTGTGGGCCCTGGGCCATACATAGTGGGATATGGGATGACCAGACAAGGCTGGCTTAGCACTCCCTTGAAGAAGAATCTTTGATGATAGAAGAGGGGTTCAAAACTCCTACACTGAGGGGGGAAAAAAAGACCTGAAACGAAGCACATCCAGACTAAGAGGTGCAGGAAAATGATAAGGCCAATGGGCGTCCAAGATGGCATGACTAATTTAGAAAAGGATCTGGCAGTTTCTATAAAACACACCCCCCTCCCACGACTGTACCCTAGAATCCTGCCCAGGGAAAACACATCCTCAAGAAGACTTCCCAGGAATCTCACAGTGGCTCTATCCACCACAGCCAAAAACTTGGAAAGAGCCCAAACGCCCATCAACAAGTGAAACACGTGGTGGTACCTCCATGTAATGGAATGCTATTCAGCAACACAAACGAACGGAGTGGTGAGGCACACATTTTGTGCCACACAGGAGAGAGTACAGTGGCATGATTTCATCGACTGGACATTCAGGAATATGCAGAATGAATCAAGCCAAGAAACTGTCTGGAGTTGGGGAAGCTGGACCCCAAAGGGGATGGGATGTTTAGGGATAAACCATGGTGGCGCTTAGTGGGTACACACATATGTAAAGTTAGAACTGCTCACTTAAAAGATGCGTTTGGTTGTACATTAACTATACTTCCTTAAAGTTGCTTAGAAAATAAAAAGAAAATCAATTCAGAACTTGCTGCGACAGGATACAACTTCTTAAAATAACGATAGAGAGGCTGCGGGTTTGGCTAAACCTAGCAGCCACAGGACAAGGAGCACAGTTACTGTCCACCATGCAGAACAAGTCAGATTCTGAGAGATTCGACTGTTGGCCCTGAGGCCTGAGAGACAGACACAATTCCCCTCCCCACCAAGAGTTCTCAGAGACAAGGAAGGCATCAGGGAGAACCACAGGACCCACCCACTTCGTTCACCAGCTCTTCCTCCTCCTCACGCCCATCGGGGCACGCACGCAGCTGCCACCACCCTGCTGTAACTGCCCCTCAATGTCACTCACCTCTTCCTGGGTCCATTTGACCTTACACTTGCTGTCCCTCTGCTCCGGCACGTCTGAATCTGTGTCCTGGTAGTGTAGCTCATCCAAGTCCTCACTGCAGGGAGAGCAAGCTAAAGGTCAAGGACACGGGCAACGTGTGGGCAGGGGCCAGGGACCTCTAGGGAATGGTGTGAGGGAAGCAGGTTTTTACTTTCTGCTTTCAAAAATGTAACTACTTCCACTGTCTTCTTTAGAAATTCTAACAAAATGGGGTTATGACCTATTTTCATTTTCTTCTTTATTCTTTTATTTTCAGGAACACCCTAAAGTTTGGGGAAAGCTACAAGAAAAAGGAAGTTGAAAGCACAGGCCTGCGAACCAAAGGGTCACGGGTTTCATTCCCAGTCAGGGCACAGGCCTGGGTTGCAGGCCAGGTCCCCAGTAGGGGGCGCATGAGAGACAACCACATATTGATGTTTTTCTCCCTCTTTCTCCTTCTCATCCCCCCTCTCTAAAAACAAATAAATAAAACTTTTAAAAAAAGAAAAAGGAAGTTGAAATTTCATCAACATGATGGTATTCAAAACCAGACACCTATTTAATATTTTTTCTTCAATAACAGCTTTTTAAATTTGCATGGATGGTTCAAGGATAAGAGTTGATGGTGTCTGTAAATATGAAGCGCCAGAATTTTAAGAAATATTGATTACTTGGGAAACACATTTTAAATACATTATCTCAGTAATTATGCCCATTTTTTGTACATTCCCTCAAGCCCTGCCCGGGCACAAGCTCATTTCTCCCCTAGAACATTTCTAGAGCCACACAGCCTTGCCCAAGGCTCCTTCCTGCTGCTTCCTCTGCCCTAAGGCCTTCCTTGTCTCACTGACCCCAGGTGAAAGTACGCTCAAACTTTAAAAAAAAAAAAAGTAGGTCTTAGGCTTCCTGTCTCCAGGATGTCAGGGACAGAGGTCAGCTCCTCCTCCACAACAGGGTGGCCTTTGGGGGTTAGCACCCAAAGGCCCTAAATGTTTGTTCAGAGGTTGACCAGGTTCAGGAATGAATGAGCATTCAGTGCCGCCTGTTAGTACTTAAGAAAAGACCAATTAATGTAAAATTTTTGGAAGTGTCTAAACCCAGCAACATAAGGACCTGGAATTCAGCCCAGTCATTTCTGACCCAATTCATGGGGTCTCCCACCATCTCAAAGCAGAAGACAAAAACCCTGTAAGATGCTAATGACAAAATAAAGTTGGCTTGACAATCAACTGCCCCCAGACCTCTTTCTGACGGAATCCACCTTTGGTTCTCCAGCACCTGGCTCGGGATGGAAAAGTGTGCGGCCATTCTCTAATATTCTAATGAGGGCAGCAGCTCAGCTGGGAGAATTCTTTTTAAGTTTTTTAAAATTATTTTTAGGGAGAGGGAAACGTAGATTTGTTGTTCTACTTATTTACGCATTCATTGGTTAGCTCTTGTATGTGCCCTGATCTGGGATGGAACCTACGACCTCAGCCTATTGAAATGAGGCTCCAAACTGAGCTACCTGGCCAGGGACTCAGCTGGGAGCATTCTGTGAGGGATGATAAACTTCTGTCACCAACATGGCGCTGACTGTCCCTTTCACACATTCTCATTATCCCCATTTAATAGATGTGGAAACGGGGACTCACAGGGGTCATGCCACTGGCCTCATCCAGAGCCATGTTCCAAATTGACACCTTCAAGCCCTTGCGTCATAACCCCAGTTGAAAAAGCAGAGGCCAAGTCAGTCAGTGGTGGCAACCACGTGTAGGTCCCACACACCCTTTTTACGCCCTTCCATGTGCTGGGCTCTGCTCCAGGTGGGATGAGTCAGAAGCTGAGCAGGAAGGGGGTGGGGCAGAGGGCACGGGTGGGGGGAGACTTACATCCAGCAGGTGAGGACCCAGGGTGCTGAGGCCATCCCTCACTTGGGAGGGGTTCCCCCCCCCAGTGCCAGGAGAGAGGTGGCATGGGGTTGGGAGTTGTCTGGGGCCTTTGTGGTTCCCTGGAGGAACACTTCCTGAACCAAAAAAATCAGGACAGGGTCTGACAATGACAAATACCTGACCAGAATATTCCTGGGGACTAGAGCTGACCTGGGAAATTGCAGCCTGAAGGCCCTGTGCCAAGGACCCCGACCACTGCCCAGGGATCAGATGCTTCTCTGCTGAAAGGAGCTCTGGGGGAAGCCAATAACCAGTGCTTTTTCAAGTCTACGCCCTGGTCCTGAGAAGGCAAAACCCCACCCAGAGAAGGGTTTAAGGTTATCTGGGCTGCATGAAGCCAGGAAGGGAACAGGGGAGGTCCCCAGAGCCATCCCCATTCCCAGACTGGCGAAAAATCCCCGAGTTCAGGCCCCGGGCGCACAGGTGTTAAGAAAGGGACCTGGGGCCCAGAGACCGGGTTTCAGGCTTACCTTCGCCACTTACTCCCTAGGGGAATGAGTAAAATGTAGACCGCAGTTCCTGCCTTGGCCCCAGGGGCTGCCGAAACTGAATGGTCTCGATACACAATAGTCTCCCCACCATCAACCCCAGCTGATGTAAAACTCAAGTGCAACAGGAAGAAAGGTCTCTGAAACTCAACCCAGCTGAGACCGGGAACCCCAGGTGGTGGGAGACAAAAGATGCCCTCCCCCACTCCATCCGCCGGCACTCTTCTAGAGCGGAGGAGAGGACTTAGGGTGTTCTGTGTTTCCACGAATATTGAGGGAAAAATGCCCACTGGCAAACCTGAACGAACGCAAAGAGGCCTGAACGACAAGCGTCTTCCCGGCTTTGGCCTCCCGCTTGCCGTGACTTGGAGAATCACTTTCCCTTTCCAGGGGTCGCCTCCCCCCCAGATAATGGCTCTTCCAGAGGACACCACTGTCCCACCCCCACTCCGCAATTAGGCGGGAGATGAAATGACCTCATGCAGGGTTTGGCCGAGGTCCCAGGAGACCCACTCGCCCCGGCTCCAAGGCCCAACAGGCCCGAAGAGCCAAACGAGCGGCCCCAAGAGACCCCAGGTTTGGTGCGCCCCCTGCCTCGGGCGCCCCAGGACACAGCATTTCCCGCGGGAAACTCGTTCCGCTCGTGGGGGGCTACGATGAGGGTGGGGGTGGGGCAGGGGTCGGGTAGAGGGGGATGGGTCCTAGGAAAGGGCCCTCTCCCTCTCCGCTCTGCTCACCCGCGCGTCCGCCGAGACATCCCCCCCCGGCCCGGGCCGCGCCGCGCTCGCCTGCCTGCCGGCTGAGCCCGGAGCGGGAGCCGGGCCGGGGTCAAAGCTCGGGTTGCTCTGGCCGCTCCGGGCCCCGGGGCCACGTTAGGAGGCGTCAGCGTATCCGCAGGTCCCGCCGCCGCTCACAGAAACTGCAGCCACAGCTAGCGCGCGCAGAAGCACTTTCCTATCTCCCGCCAAGCGCGTCGGCACCGCCCGGGCCGGGCGCGCAGGCAGACAGGCAGGTTCCGGGCGGGGCCTGAAGGAGGCGGGACCCGCTCGGGGGCGGGGCCAGCCGGCGGGCGGGCAGGCAGTGCAATCTCTCAGAGCCCTGAAGCCCCAGGGCAAGGAGGGTCGGAAGGGTGCAGCTCAGAGTTCGTCGCCGCGGAACTCAGTCTGGACTCAGGAAAGGTGTGGATCGGGAAGCCCAGGAGTAGCCCCACACAGCAAAGACCGAGGAGAGGGAGTCAGCCGCAAGGACCGAAAAGTAAGGTCCGGAAACGGCCTCGGGTTAAACTAGCCCAAGGCTAGTCCAAGCCGTTACTCCGCCCACAGGCCCAGCCCTGAAGCGGCCCCCTCACCCCCGCCTAGACCAGGGATGCGCCTTGCCATCCTGCCTCCTTGTCAGCCTCGAATTCGGGGGCTCTGGCTCCTCGGTTCTACTCCTGCCTAGCAGCTTGAGCCAGCCCTCTAAATGCAAACCTGATCTAGCTTCACCAGAATATAAAACCTCTGTCCTCCCTAACCAGATTAATAGGATTCTGCCCGGCCACCACTCCCCCATCTCTAGCCGGAAGAAACTTGCTAGCTTCCTTGCCTTTGCTGGGGTCAGGAACACTTCCATTCCTCCCACCTATTTCCCACTTATCCTTGGGGTCCACTGCCCCTACTCTGTTGACTTGTGCGTGTCCACCTTTAGCCTTAGGGGCGAGGGTATAGGGAAGGGGCCACATACTAAACCTGACAAGCTCAGGGGAGACCTGCCTGGCGGCTTTACAAACTCAGAGACTGAAAGCAACCAACCACACAGGGCGGTCTGAAGTCAAAACTTTCTAACTGAAATTGGATCAGATCAGATCCTCAGGCCCTAGGTGGGTATTGTCCCTGACAAAGGTCAGTCTTTATACCTTAAGTGGGCCTGTGTTTTTGCATCTACAACTGCCTTTGTCAAGGTAATTAATTTCCTTTTTTTTCTAGACCCTTCAGGAACAACCACCCAGAGGCCACAAAGCCCCTCATTGTTATTGTTATCATGATTGTTAACTGTAATTATCCACCATTGTCAAGGAAGTATGTGTCTTCGTTTTACTTTTTATATATGGTAATCTTCACCACTATAACCCTTTTAGTGTTCCCCTTTTATTCTGATGTATAAAATAAGTGGTAAAACTGCCATTTTCCAGAGCATTTCTCAACCCGTTAATTTTGCTTCCTGGCAATTGTCAGTTTGGCTCAAATAAAATGCTAAAAATTCTCTACAGGTCTGAACATTTCTTACCTCCACAGAACTATGGGCATACTGAGTGGTCCCAGCATTCTCTGAATATCCCCAAGGCCCAGAATTCAGCTGTCGAGTTGAATTCAGGATTTTCCATTTTAAGTTGCCATGTAACAATTACCTTCCAAACCTGGCTCCCAGGGAGGCCTGCTGAGAGGAAGGAAAATGAACCAGGAGAGACCCCGCTGAGAGCCAGCCCCTAAGCCCCTGCTTCCGCCTCAGACTCCTCTTCCAGAAGCTGCTGGACATTTCGGGCCAGCTGAAGAAAACTTCATTTACCACAGCGGAAGAAACACATCTCAAATGCTAGAAGATCCCATATCCATCAATTCAGGGCTTCCCCACCCACTTCCCTCATAAGATAATTCATATGGACATCCCCTCTTCATTGCTAAAGCATAGTATTCAAGGGTGTAGGCTCTGCCCTGGCCAGCTAGCTCATTTGGTTACAATATTGTCCCTTCCCAGATAACACAAGTTTGTGGGTTTGATTCCTGGTACAGGTACAAACAAGAATCAACCAATCAGTGTGTCAGTAAGTGGAACAACAAATCTTATGTTTTTTTTCTCACTCCAAAATCAAAATTTTAAAATATTTTTTTCTTTTTAGCTTTTATTTCTTTTTATAGAGTGGGGAAGAGAGGGAGAAAGGGAGAGAAACAATGATCGGTGGCCTGTTGTGTGTGCCCCGTTCAGGAACTGCAGACTGCAGTCAGGACCCAGGCAACCCTTCAGTTCGCAGGACTGCACCCAGCTCACTGAGCTACACCAGTCAGGGCAATAAATATATATAATTTTTTAAAGTACAGGCTCTGAAGCCAGACTTCCTCAGATTTGAGTCCCACCTCCACCCATATACTAGTTTGTGTGGTCTTAGGAAAATTACTTAACCTCTCTGTGCCTGCTTTCTCATCTGTAAAAATAACATTCATCAAAAGCTTAGCCTTTACTAGGTGCCAACCATTATTCTGTACGCTTTACAAATTTTAGCTCATTTAATCCTCAACAAATTTACAGCGTTAGAATTATCCTCTTAGCAGATGGGGAAACTGAGACTCCGGCCTCCCCAGGGTCACACTGCTGGGAAAGGACAAAGCAGGGAATCCGAGCTGGGCTGTCCAGTTCCAGCATCCGTGCTCTTCATCACTGCTCTGGTATCTATTTTGTAGATCCTACTGGATCTTTGTAGGATCCAGTATTTGTAAACCGCTGAAAACACTTCCTGGTACAGAGTAAGTACTACACAACTTTCAGTTGTTACGTACGTGACTCCAGTTTATTACTATTATTGTCACAACTCAGCCGCTCTCGCGCTTGTCCTTTGAGGTCCAGTAAACTGCATTGCAGCACATGGCACACAATCTCCTGTGGATTATCAGTCTCTTGCTGCTCGCGGAGACCCAGGGCAGGGACACAACCTGTTTCACGCACCCCAGGGTAGTAGGACGCCCAGGGCCAGGTGTGGTCTGACCACGGGTGCCCCGCCGCCTGTCACAGAGCACGCACTTCGGCGCGCGCTTGGACTCGGGCGCCGCACGCGAGGCATCTCGGGAGTCCGCCGCCTGACGTCAGCAGGGCGGCACCTGCGCTCGGTTCCGCCGGGAGCTTCTGGGGTTCCAGCCGCCTGTCCCAGCGCTGCAGACTCCCTGGAGGATCCGGAGAGCCGCGCACACCCGAGCCATCGTCGCTGGGCGGCCTCCACTGAGGCCTGCGGTTTGGGACCCCATTCTGCTCGGACCCCCTCCCCCCATGTGTCGGCAGCCCCGGACAAGCTTCTAACACTGCGGATCTCCTTCGTGCGATTTGTCACTATTTGCGCCTCTTAGGAAGTCCGTTTCTCTCCTGGATTAGATTGTGAGCGGCAGGAGCGCAGCCCGAGGATGCAACATTAGTAGGCTTCATGCTAAAGTTTGGTGTAAGCAAGAATTTGCTCTTTAAAGTGTATATTTCTGGCTGTCTCTTAAAGGCAGCGTAAGATAACATGGGTGGGGGAAAGGGGACCTGAATGCCTGAAGAGGGTGACATTCTTTCTCTTCATCCTTTGGTTCTGTTTTCAGGTATCACCTGTATTTTTCATTTCTAAAAAATTTTAAATTTCACTAAGGCATATGTAGTGCCCTAGGACCTTTTAAGAAACCAGAGTTTAAAAGTCTCTTACATTTGGTTTTACAAATAAAAAGTAACTTAGCAGAAGCCATACATCTATGAATCATAAGATACCACATTTTCCTCCTTTCTACTAGGACCGAGATGTTCATTACTCATGTCTCCCCCTTCTCATGTTACTTCCTCTTTTTGACACTAATGTTTCTCTGCTCAGAGATGTATTTGAGCTCAAATAAAATCTCCAACAGTTATTTTTATGCTGTTATCTGCTAGGAATGAATGCTATTAACTTTTTGTGGGGTTTTGGTGTTATTAAGAATAAAGGGTAAACACTTATTCAAGTTGGTTAATTTTTTATCTCCAACGACTTATGTGAACCACTCAGATCTTGAGACTGGTCATATTTTCTAAGACTTGTGTAGGGATTTCCAGCTATTTACTGGTTATTTCCACGCATGAAATGCCATCATCTCAATTGGATTCTTATACAGTTCACCCTTTGGAATCCCCATCTTCCAATACCTCCACCGCCAAGCAGTCAGGATCAAAATCTTGGCAATCTGACCTTCAACCCCTGGACCAAATCCATTTCAAAATGCCCCCCTTTCTACAACAGCACCTCATTACTCATTACTTCCTCTTGGGGTTGTATCACACTCCCCCCCTACATGGCCTGCCTTCCACAGTCCCATCTTTATAAAGCCCACCTGCTAAGCCATTCCCACTGCACCCCATCCTGTACATACTGGCAGTGGCTCTGCAATCTCTGGTTTTCTTGGATCCCCAAAGCTGGTTCCCAGCATATCCGGTACACCAGTGTGCATTCCCACATCAAGCTGCCCCATTCAGCTTGGGAACCAGCTACCCAGAGACTATCCATTCAGGTAGGGATAGTCTCTCCCATTTTCCTTGGGATAATCATTTTGCCCAGCACTATCACCCCAAATGATAGCACTGAGTGCTTCAGGAGCTCAGAGGAGGGGAACAAAGTATGGGTGGACAGGAGAACCTCCAAATGGCTGTGTCATGCAGGCGGCTGGATATGTAAGGAAGATGTGCACCCACTGTTTTAATGTTTTCATTAGCTGCAGTGGGACAAAGGGACTGTATCCTTCTGAACTAGTCCAAAAACTGCACAGTAATCACAAGCTTGAGAGTTATTTATGCCTTTGATAAAAGAGACTCAAATCCGGAACTAGAGTTGAAAGAAATAACTCCAGTGAAACACTATTTCATATATTATAAAAAGTAACAGATTCGATCAGATTTAATTTAGAAAAAAGGGAACATATCTTACAGAAGGATCTTGTGAGAAATGTTTTACCTATCTGGGGACTACAAAAGATATACAGACCTCACACAGCTCCCAGTAGAAAGGAGAGAGAGACAACTTTGATAAAGGGGCTGAGGAACAGTTGAAAAACAGCTAACAAATCAGGAGGCAGAAAATGCTTCAAGAGGCAGGGTCCTCAGAAGTTATCCTGGAGTGCGGTTTCACTTGTATCAATGTCATGTTCCTGGAGGAGGGAGTGACACAGAATTCAGTATTTCAGTGCAAAGTCTGAAATGTGCTCTTCAGTGTTTTGGACTTGACTAGAGATTCTGAAACGTCATTAATTGGAACACACAGGTTACCTCTGGCTTTAAGGCCGAATCCAGCCCAACGGTCAAGTTTTCACTAATAGGACAGGGCTTTTGACCACTGCCCACCACCCACCAGGATGTAGGGAGTAAATACCATTGCAGGTGTTGATGCAGACCCACCGGACTTCTTACCTTGCCCTTGGGGGCCTGTCCCTGCCTCGCTGCCAGGATAAGTACTTTTGGGGATCTACCTGAGCCCCCATCCCACGTTTCAGTGCTGAGCAGGCATTACAGGAGCACCTCACCCCTGGATGCCATCCACACACTTACCTCAGAGTGGAATCTTCCTTAAAATCTACTGGTGTCACTCCCCAGCCTTTGTAAACCCCTTTTTAATGACTGCATGTTGTCCCATCGACTGATGGGACCCACACACTCCCACCTGCCCCATTACCCTCAGCTCCGAGGCAGCAAGGACCGCGTGCGTCCTGCTCACTGATGCAGCCCCAGCACCCAGCCCTGTGCCTGGCACACACGAGGTGTACGGTACGCGTGCGCAGCAGTGCCAGCCCCTGTCAGTGAAGGCTCAGACCCGAACTAGTCTTTCCACTCAGCATCTAAATTCCTAAATATACATATGAAGAAATATGGACTCTTTCTTTCTACTGTTTTTTAACCCTCTCCCCACCCCCATGAATGCCTTCACAATCCTTAAACACTCTTTCTAATCATTTCTAATCTTGTGGATGCACCATAGGTACTTCACCTACTGATGATTTTATTCTTCCCTACTGATGATTTCATTTATCTATTAAAACAGTGCTACTGCACTGAGAATCCAGAGGGTAAATCTGTATACACCCAGATTACACCATTAAGAAATATTCTGAGGTTAGAATTGCTGAGTCAAAGGTGTATACATGTTTAGGGCTTTTGAATACTATTTTAAAAAATATCTCCAGAAAAGTAGGAGCAGTTTACTCCTTCATCAGTAGTGTATGAACCCCCTTTAACAGCAGTGCTAGGCATTTAATGTGAGAAATCCTGTGAAGGTATAAACAAAATGAAGGCCAGGCATAATGTCCAAGTAGCTGGTCCTTAGTCGGGAGAAAGATGGGTTTGGACACGAAGCACTGACCTCACGCCCCGCTGCTCGGTCCGTGGCTCAGTTCTCTCTGGCCACAGTGGTATCACTCATTCCTCACACATACCAGGCGAAGCCCGGCCTTAGGGACTTTGCACAGGTCTTCCCTCTGCCCGGGACACTTGTGCCCCAGCTAAATCTTGCAACACTTTCAAGTCTAGGCTCCAGTCCCGGCTTTGGTGTGAGGCCTTCCCCGACCACCCTGTTCGTTACCACCACCTTCAGCACGCCCCCCTGACCCTGCTCTGCTTGTTTTGTACGCAGCGTTTTCGTCTCCCAGCATACCTACCGTGTGACTGATTTATATGTCTACTGTTTACTGTCTCCTTCAGCTAGAATGGGAGTTCCATCAGTGCAGGGCCTGTTTCGCTCACTTGGTGACTTAATAAATACTTGCAGAATGAACAAATGGCACAGAGCTCAGTTTATGGGTGACGCTGCCACTCTAAGGGCTCCCACTCCAGGGAGTCCTCCTGGGCTCTGTACCTGGTTCAACTTCTTGAACTCCACCACTTGGAAGAAGATGTGCTCAAGGATATGTTTGGCATCTTGTTGATCCTTTGGGAGTTTACTGGTTACTCCGAGAATGTCACCACACTTCCTGACGTAGAATTCTAGGTCTTCTTCAGTACCTAAGCACAATCGGGCCAGTTAGATGAACCCTGACCTTCTGCCCTTCCCTGAGTACGAACGTACTGTGATTCAGGCACCCCTCATCAGATTCCTGCATCTCTTGAGATTGACCACCATTCCTGGGGTGATGTGGCCACAGGACACACTATAAAGATCTCCGGTGCATCGCTTTTATAAATTGGGACAAAAGTGTGCCGCTCCCAATTAGCATAAAGCTGGACTAGCCCTGGCTCTCCCATTCCCTGATCCAGCACTCCTAATTTACAAAGAACCACCACCAACCAGTAAGAAACCAGGTCACCATTCTCCGAACGCAGCGAGGACCATTATGAGAAGGGCATGTGGGTACTTTAAAGAGCATTTATTACAGCAATATTATAGACAAGGAAATGAGAGAAGAAAAAATTACCCATAATTCCACTGACAGCCTATCTGTGCAAAGCCATCCCCAAGTGCCCTGTATTCCAAAATAAACAGCCATTACTGCCGTTCTTACACTGTAATTTCTTTTCCCCCTCTGATTTGCCTTTTCTCTTTTTATTTTTTATCCTCACCTGAGGACATTTTCATTTGCTTTTTTAGAGAGACAGGGTGAGGGACAGAGAGACATCGATGAGAGAGAGGCATCAACCTGCTGCCCCGGTACGCACCCAGACCGGGTACGCAGCCAGACCGGGGCCGCAGGCGCCTGTGCCCGGCAGGGGATGAACCTGCGGCCTCTCGGCTACAGGATTGGCCCTGCAACTACTGAGCCACACCAGCCAGAGTGGGTTTGCCTTTTTAAATGTTATGATAGAGATGTGTTTTTTTATTAAAATATTCAAATCATACAGCTGCCAAAATCTCTCACACTACCCGATCCCCACCAGTACTAGGTAGGGTAAGTACTGCCACGTCATGCCTCCATAGTTACATATGTATAAGCAATGGGACCAGATGCAGACGGTTCCGTCAGTTGCTTTCATCATTTAACCATGTCACGTGGACATTCGTGTCAAAGCTCACACTCCACGTCTTTCATTTAACAGATGTATAATGTCCTCCTTTATTTCGTATTTTTTATCCAGTCTGCATACTGATGGACCACTAGACTCTTGGCCATTTTTTGAATGCTACGATTAATCTCTCTAGAGCTAAATCTTTCTTATTCTGCATTTCTACAAGGATTGCTGTTGGTCGCAGCACCTTTTCCCTCCAGGTCCGTTGTTACTGCTGCACTGACATCTGGGTCTTGCCGATCTCCGACTACCCAGCACCTACCGTAGGGCCCGGGCAGGACAGAGACGCAGGCAAGGTGTTCTGCACTGAGCGGTTTTCATTTCTGCACGCTCCCTCTGGTCTCTGGGGACACGGGTGTTGTTCACATAGCTGGGAACCCACTGGCCGTGCAGTTTTCTATCTTGCTTTCTTCACTTAGGACTTCCTTAAAATCTACTGGTGTCACTCCCCAGCCGTTGTAAACCCCCTTCTTAATGACTGCATGCTGTCCCGTGGACAGCACATGCGTGGCACAGTTTACTACCATTCCCCCGCTGGGGAACGCTTGAGCCATTCCCAATTGCACTTCATTTTCCAAGTAAATGATGGAGTAGTCATCAGTACACCTCTTATCTCCTTACATTCTCAGGAGTGGGGTCTCGGCCTCAACACGGTTAATTCTATGCCTCTCGGCACCTGCGTGCAGGCCCGTCTGCTGTGCTGGCAGCCGTCTCTCCGGCAGCACTGCACAGACAGTCGGGGAGCCACTTAGCAGGCAGCTGTGTGGCCTGGGCCTCATTTCCTCGTCCAGGAGTCAAGGTCGGCGTGCTTGGCTCCTCCTAGGACCCCCTGAAGGCCCCACTCTTAAGTCTCTACAATTCCTTTGGCCCTGATTCCACTCTCCCATTGAATTGCTCCCCTGACTGGTGACCCAGACTGGGCACCAGTGGCAACCAAGTTCAGAATTCACTCTAGGGTCACTCGGCAGGTCAGAACTCAGGACCATGCCCTGCCTCACTGAGCTAACAGGAATAGAGAGAAAGACATCATTTGCACAGACAAAAACTGTCACTTTACACTCCGTTCATATTTTGTTCTCCCTAAATGAATGCTAAATTTTCTCTAAGGGCAAATCTCAGAAGTTCACAGTTAAATAAAACTCACAAAAGAAGACAGACAAAAAGGTGACTGAACTTACACTTATTGGTGATCTGAGCGAGCCGCGCCTTCTCAGAGGAGAAGGTCTCGTCCAGGTCAAACAGCTCCAGCGGAGGAGGGGGCAACTCCCTGAAGCTGGGAGGGAAAACCTAAAGGGAGGCGAGGCCTGTCACCAGAGAGCACACCCACAGCTGAACCGACAGATGAGACCTACGGGAAGTGAGGGGCTGACTCAGCCCTTCCCCGGGACGAGCCACCCGAATGCCCTGCACGCCTCCTGCCCCAGCCCACCGTAAACAAGCAAGCGGAGCCAGCCCTGACCACACCACCGACCTGACCACGCTGATGTGCCAGCACCCACTCACTGTGCAAGGACACAAAGCTTACGGCTTATCTGGCGTGTCTGTGGTGAACATTTGATCGTACAGTTTGTTTTATATTTAATCACGAGCTCTTTAGGGACAGAAACTGGGGAAATATATGTCAATTAGTGTAGAAAGTACTAAACTTGGAGCCAAAATTTGCAGGGATGAACCAGTGGTGTGCTGATAAAATGTTTAACTGTCAGCTCTCAGAACAAAAGTCCTGATCTACAGCGTTTGCGATTTTCTGTGATGTAAATACTTCCAATTTCAAGCTACCAAGAGGTAACCAAATGGCTCCGAGTATTCCAGAAGGTGGTGGGATAGGACAGTTCTGAAGACCAGCGGGGTAGACGCTGGACTGGCATGCCGGGAAGTGCCCTCCGTGCACAGGAGCTCGCCCTGGGCTGCGGGGCCTGCGCGATGGCGCTGAGGGCCTGCTGCCTAGGAAACCGCAGCACACACTTCTCCTCCTGTTTGCCCAGAATTCTCACCAGTGCCCTCCAACCCCACAAGAAGCGACATGTTTAAAAGCCAAAAAGGCCCCTGGCCTTGATGTCTCAGTCAGGAACGACACCGCGGGAAGAGTGCTAGGAGAACGCGAGCACTTCTGCTCCTGGTGCCTGATGAGAGGCAGGGAAAGGAGCCTCCGCGCAGAGTGGCACGGATGGCGCACGGAAGGGTCCAAGCGGGGGGGGGTGCCAGCTGGCAAGGGAAGGGCAAACGGTGGGGTTCTGCAGTGGGATCCCCCAAGCACACCCACTCACCGCTGGCTGAAGGGCTGGCAGCGGCGTCTCAAACTGAGGCTGGATGAGCTGCAGAGGCTCATGTTTCACGTTTAGCTGTTCATAGGCCCTGGGTTGGTGACGAGACAAAAAAGAGGGATTAAGATGAGACCCTGTGGGAAGAACATCCAACTGATCACACTGTGCTCTTCTCCCCCTAACCAGGTGGTTCAGCACTTCTGTAGGGAAACACACCCAAAGGTGTTCTTACATGCAATGTAATCACCCTTCCGTGAATCTTCTCTACTGTATCAGACAGCATGACTTTATCGAGAACTGAAAGGGGAAGTCCTTCCACATTCCTATCAAGCTTCGCCTGTTTATTTTTACCCAATGAACACTGATTCAGAACTGTGTGAGTTGGCTGAACTCCTGTACAAAGGAGGCAAAATTAAAATAGACTCGTCCAGCTGGCCTTTCACAATTAAGCCACACAAACGAATGCCGATGGGTATACGAACAAAGTTCGTGTCTGCTTCTATGTGTAAGCGATTTCAGAAAGGAGAGACGTCAGTGACTGCAGGTAGGTGACCGGCTGGTCTTCCTCTGCTGCTCCCTGGCGCTTGGGGGGAAATGTTTCCTTGTAACGAAGCAGAGGATCCCCGTGGAGGCAAGAGAAATAACTCGACTGAGCACCAAGTAAATGACACCTATTGTGCCCAACTCTCCGCTAGGCACTTAAATTTATTTTGCTTAATCCTCAGAATGACCCTGAAAGTTGGGTGTAGTCTCTTGCAGAGGAGGAAACAGAGGTACAGAGATGAAGTAGTTTCCAGAGGTCACATGGCTAAGAAGTGACAAAAGCAAAATCGAAATTCAGACCTGGCCAATTCCTGCTAACCAGAAGCCGTATGGCTCAGTCTACCCAGAAGGCAATGTCATTAAGGGCAGTTCTATGCTGAAGGTCCCACCAGCTACACGTGTGTGCACACACACAGGCACACACAGGTTCCTGCTCCCAGGTCTCGGCCCCAGGCATCCCCGCTGTGATTTCCTGCTTTCCATCCTGGGTCAGAGCTGACTGTGCTGAACTGTACTGAAGCCACACTCAGGTGTGTCCCCTCAAGTGCTGGTGCTAGACAACGTGGGACACTGTGTTGCAGGTGACGTCAGAGGGCTCATTTTCCAACTGTTACCAAGTTGGCCTTGTTAGGAGTCAAGGCTAACCGCAGCTCAAAGGGCCATTAGGAACAAACGTGCGTGCCTGGACGCACCTGCAGGTGAGCCTACCTGGGGCTTTACTCACGGGACCTATGCTGCTGCAGAGTGCTCGCTCCCAACATCCCCACCTGCGTTCTGAAATCCCTCCCACCCCTTAAAGCGCAGCACCCAGCACAGTGCCCAGCAGACACAAGGCCCCAGGAAATGTCTATTGAAATGATCAACGCCTGCCGAAAACGGCCCCTCTTTCATAGAGCCCTCCCTGCTCACCCCAGTCAGAATCAAATTCTCTTTCGTCATTACGCCCACGGCCTCCAGTTTTGTTCTTCCTGTTTAGCATTACTGTAAAACCACGTATCACAGCTTTGGTCGGTCCCCTCCATAAAACCACACCCTCCAGGCCCAGTGCTGGGCACAGCAAGAGCTCTGCCCTCGCTGAACTTGGGAACACGAGGACGGGAAGTCGGACAATCACCTAGGGCTGCACCCTCAGCCTTCGGTTTATCCAGACATGGATCCCATGCCAGGCCAAAGATACTCGTAAGTTTTAGCCCCTGTGCCTGTCATCAGGTATGGAAACCAACAAAGTGGACAGTGAAACGGGGTGGAGCCCTGGCTTGACAGTCATTCAAGCCTGGTTTGAAATCCCGGCTCCCACCTTGGGAAGATACCCTCCCTCTTTAAACCTGTTTCCTGTCCTGGCTGTTGTGGCTCAGTTGGGTGGACCATCGTCTCCTACACTAAAAAGCTGGGTGTTAGATTCCCAGTCAGGGCACATGCCTAGGTTGTGGGTTTGATCTCCAGTCAGGGTGCATGTGAGATGCAACCAAGTGATGTTTCTCTCTCTCTCCCCGACACCCTTCCTAACTCTCTAATAAAATAAAATAAACCTGTTTCCTCAGTTGGAAACAAAACAGATAACTCAGAGGACTACTGACAGTCTTAAGGGAAAGAGGGCAACTAACCACCTGGGTTTAACGAGAGGATGCCTAGGACGTGGGACTCTCTCTGCTAAAACCACGAAAGTCCTAGGCAAACCGGAACAAGCTGCTCCCCGCCCAAGTGTCTGACATGGCACCTGAAACACAGTGAGGGCTGGCAGCATGGAGGCTGTTCCCCCTGCACCGATGCCCACCCCAGTACCCTGCTCTCTTTGCTGACCTCATCACAGAGCTGACTGCACGTTTTGCATACCATGCTTGCCGTGACCCCCAGCCCCTCACCCAGGTTCACGCTTCCAAACCAAACACCCAGAGCAGAGAGCAGTGCAGCTCAGAGAGCCACGGGCACTGACTTGATGACCTTGGTGAGGGAGGTGATATCCAGCTGGTAAATGGACAGGTCGAAGAGGGTGGTGAAGTCCCGGGGGTTCTCCTCGCCCTCCTGGAGACACACCCGCAGCCGCTCCGACAGGCTGGCTGTGTCGGGCAGCATCATGTAGTCGGAGATCTGGAAGCCAGGAGAGGTTCTGTTCAGCAAGCTAGACACGAGAGTTTAATCTGTCACGTCACCAGCATCTCAGGTCTAAATCTGTGATATCTATATTCTCTTGCCAAGAGATTTCACTATTCACTATCACTGACAACTAAGCCCTGACTAAGCGACTTTACGTGGAAAGAGAAACGAAAGTCCCCTGGCTCAGCCCCAACGCTGGCTAAATCCACCCGCCCGTCCAATTTCTCCTGCTGGCAGTCACCCCGCGGAACCCAGCTGGAGAGGCGCGCCACCACCATGCTGGCCGGTCGGCGTTTGACTTCACGATCGCCGACCTTGAGTGCCCAGCAATCAGTAATACTCCCCCAGTCCTTCCGCTCTCCCACTCTCCTATACTTTCTTTCCTTTTGTCACTTCAACCATCTAAAGTGGTTCTTCTTTCTTCATTTTTAGCCGATGATCTTATTTCCTATTTCAGTGAGAAAACAGAGGCAACCACAAAAGAAAGTCCACAAGCTCCCACTACAACATCTACCCACCTGCCAGCATCGGGGCCACACACTCTGCTTTCTCTCCTGTCACACGTGTGAACCCGTGGCCCCAGCACCGAGGACCCCACACTTGGACACCAGATCCCAGCCCTTCTCACCCAGCCAAGGGCATGCACCCAGCGTTGCCGGGAGCCCTCCATGATGGCACTGCTGGGTGTTGGTAACAGTAAAAGAGCAGGGAAACCTCAACGCCCAGCAACTGGAGACTGGCTAAATATACTACAGCTCAAACAAAGGAAAACACAATCTTAAAAAATAATGAAAAAACAAACCAAGACACTGTGTATAAATAGGAAACATCTCTAAGACATATTGGTACTTTTTAAAAGCCCGGCGTTGAACAGTGTATCTACACACACCAGAAACTGCTAAGACTGCTGTCACTGTGGGGAGGAGCAAAGTGGCTGGGGAAGGAGGGAAGGAAGACTATTTATTGTACATGCTTTTGAATTCCAAACTATGTGAACGCGTTACTGATTCAAAATTAATTTAAACTGAAATAAATGCATGCTGGCAACAAGAACTCTTCCTAATTGTCCTTTGAGCTGCAGCTGGCCTTGATTCTAACAAGGCCAACTTGGTGATGGCTGGAAAATCAGTCCTCTGAAGTCGCCTGGGACAGACTGTCCCCCACGTTCCACCCGCACTCGAGGAGACACACCTGAGTGCTCCGGAAAGGCCAACAGGCTCCCCGTTTTCATCTACCCCAAGGGCCAGAAACCACCCTCTCCTCAAACTTTTTGTAGATGAGAAACGAGGGAGGAGCACACCAGTCAGGCTCTTCCCTGCAACAGGTGGCTGTTTGAGCCTTCAACCCCCTAGTGACAGTGACAGGGATATCAAGGGCAGGGACTGTTCCAGGACGCAGCAAGGGGATCGGCGCCAGGCAGCTGGCCCGCCTGCAGATCCGGGGACCAACCCTCGTCTCTGCGCAGAGGCCCCCCACGGGCTCTGGCTCGGAACACGGCACGGCCTCACGTGCGCAGACGGAACCGCGGGAGTGCTCCTCAGAGCACCAGCTTCCACGACTTCCTAGCAGATTCTGAGGTTAAAACTGGTTACGCAAATTCCTTCAACTCTTCACTGAGCTGCCGTTTGATTGTCTTACACATCGTTTGAAACTGAACTATACTGTCTGGGTTTGAAACCCATTTGGATGTAACAAGACTTGATCTGAAATCACAGGAAGTTCAGGTTTTCGGAATTTCTTATTCTGCAGTGCTCCAGGGTCCAGCCTTTCACTCTGAAGCCTTGCAACACAAAGCACTGGTCTCGCCAGGACTTGCACCTGGGAGACACATTAGCCCGCATGGTTTACAGAAAGGCTTAACCACACTGTACTCTGGCTTTCCAATGCATCCCTTCTGAACCAGTCCAGTGTCACGTGTGAGCAACAGAGAAAGGCACAGGCTCTGGAACCAGGCTGACATGGCATTAACAATGGCTCAGCCAGGTACTGGCATAAGCGGGACCTTCCAGAGTTTACTTACTTCAGTTTCCTCAGCTAGAGAACAGGAATGACAGACACTTGGCAGGAGCAAGGCGGCCACCCAGAACAGGAGCAGAGGCAGCGTCTCAGTGCTGCGTCCCTCGGCCCACGACACTCTAACTAGGGTGGGCAGCTGCCAAAGGTCCGTCCACTCAGAGCTGCGTCCCGTGAGATCGGAAAAGCAATTCCTGGCTGTACCCCAGTTCTTTTATTCTGAGGGCTTCCATCACTTTTGAGGAGGAATTTAAGCAAAACAGCCATACACTGACTGCTTTAGGCACGGACTCCCCTGTTTCCTGACCTGAGTCAGCCCCTGGGCAGCCATGTCTTCAGCTGAGGGCGGAAGCAACCAGGGGAAGCCACCATTTCTCAGTGCCTTCTTGCCCACCTCCTGCTGCCTGCCCAGGAAATCATTTTCCTGGCATTCCAGAGGGTAAGGAGCAGAGCTGAATCAGGAGACCTGGAGGTGGGTCCTGGCGCCACATTTGCTTGCAACTGGAGCCCATGGCGATCGTACAGAATTTTAGTTTCTTCATCTGTAAAATCAGTTTAACACCACCCGCCTCCCAGGGCTGTTGTGAAGCTTAGATAAGGTGGTTCAGGGGGATGTACATGGTATATAGTGTCTAGTATACAGTAACTACAAAAGCTTTTTTAAAATGTATTAGAGATGCACAGCACCTTTTAGTTTAACAAATAAATTTGCATCTATGAATTCAGGCCTCACAATCGCCCTGTGGGGAAGACAGCAAAGGTATTAGTGTTCCCTAGAAAACCAGGATAAAAACACACTGAACACAACCTGCTTAAGGTCCAAGGTAATTGGTTCCCAGTCCAGTGTGTATCACCCTCCCTAGTCTGAGAAATATTGTCCTAATACCTTGAGGATTGTTATTCCCAGAGGCAACAAAATTATAGTTTAAAAATTCAATTTGGCCTTGGCTGGCATAGCTCAGTGGATTGAGCACTGGCCTGTGAACTAAAAGGTCGCCGGTTCAATTCCCTGTCAGGGCACATGCCTGGGTTGTAGGCCAGGTCCCCAGTTGCGGGCCTGCAAGAGGCAACTGATGTTTCTCTCCCTCTCTTTCTCCCTCCCTTCTTCTCCCTCTCTTTCTCCCTCCCTTCTTCTCCCTCTAAAAATAAATAAATAAAATTTCAATTCAGATGATCTTTGTTTCTTCGTGAAAAAATTATTTTGATAGCTTGCATATTTCTGAAAGAAGTATTTCCCTACGTATTTTGATCTTGAAAGTCTGGACCAAGGACCATACTTTAAATTCCAATTATTACATACATATAATCAGAGGTTCCCATGCCAATAAATTACAGAATTTACTATTTTTTACAACATAGCATTCATCTCTCCAAAGAGCACCATGCCTTGCCACCTGTCTAACAAAGAAACACGTGTTCCCCTGGAGCTGTCGGGAGCGGTGCCGAGAGGGTGAACCCGGTCTCATGTAAAAGTGTGTTTCTAATGGTTCGCAAGCTCCTACCTCTGGGTCCTCTGCATCGATCTGGTTTAGGTGAATGTCTTCTGTTGTAAGCCACTGGAAAACAACATCCTGGATTTAAAAAAATAAATTGGAATCAAATACTTGGTTATTGGAGAAAGCTGAAAGCAGGAATAGAGAATTTTATCAACAAAGAAAAAGTGAACCAGTGATTCAAATGAGGGCAGCCACCTTCCTGTTTGTGAAATCATATAAAAACTCACTGTAATATTACTTTTATTATAGGAAAATAATATATTATTTATAACTTTTTAAAAAGATTTTATTAATTTATTTTTAGAGGGACGGGAAGGACAGAAACATCAATGTGTGGTTGCCTCTTAACGCACCCTCTACTGGGAACTGGCCCGCAACCCAGACACGTGCCCCGACTGGGAATCAAACCAGCAACCCCTTGCTTCGCAGGCCAGTGCTCAATGGAATCACATCAATGTACAGCTTTGGCACACATGGTCTATCATCCCTCACACCACTCTGCCAAGCAACTGCCACGCCTGTCCCTCCCTCCGGTACCAATCAGTGGCCAGTCCTGTCACAACCCCTCCAGCCCCTCCCCGCACACCTTCACTGCCTTCCTTCGGGTCCTTACCCTCCTTGCCTAGTTGACTTCACCAGCCCCCGAACTGGCCCTGGGCTGCCTCCTCCTTTCCACTCTCCATACGCCTCACAAAGGGCTCTTTCTAAAACTCAGATCTCTAGATGCCCAAGGCTACTCAGCACCCTACAAGGGCTCTCCAAGGCTTTCTGCACAAAGTTCAAACTCCTGAACTTTAACCACGAGACCCTGACCAGGCTCGTCCCTCACCACCTCCCCAGGGTCAGCTCCCGCTCCAAGCAGGCATGCTTAGAAATGATTAAACACTCTTCTGGATTTACGTCTCGGTCTTCCACGCTCTCTCTCCTTGTGTTATATAGTCTCAGAGTGCAGACTACGCCTGACTCAACTCTGCATTCTTGGCGTGTGACACCTGACGGGCTCTGAACAGCCATCAGTAAGGGATGACTGGGGCGGCGTGTTGTTAACGATGTGAGGATCACACTCAACACACTGCACACTGACGTAACGAAGGAGAAAAGCTCACCATGAGTTTGCTGTTTTCTTCTTTATCCAAGTATTGGTCACTAAACATGTGACATGAGCCGAGCACTGCCAGCTTCCCACCTTGGTTCTGCGGATGACAAAGAATTGTCACATACTCGGATCCCAAAACGCACAGCACGCATCCAAGTTTCCAAACACGTGTCGCCAGAATTCCATAAGCGGTAATACAAGTAAGTGCCGGTTCTCACGAGGAGTTTAAGTCTAGAAATACCAACTATGCACTAACCACCTTCCAATCTGCTTCTAATTCTACTGTATTGTATTATTTTTAACTTTATGTGCCCCAGGCATGAAACAGCTCTGGCCTCCAACACAGGCAACAAGCTTGGGTGAGCGGAGGACTGTAAGTCCGCCTTGCCCTGACCGATGCATGAGCAACACCTGCTTCTCATGTCAGACACTTCCACATTCCATTTGACTTGAACGAAAGACACTGTGAACTGGCTCTATGGCATTTCCCTATTATTATCTTACAAACAAAGGCCATAACCTCAAAGGAAAACAAAAAGATAAAACCAAAGAGAGTTGAAGACATTTGCAAGTACCAAAATAGTATTTGGTCACGAGCATGAAAAATTCACACAAGAAATAAGTTAACAAAAAATACTTTAGTATTAGGCTTTTAAACAAGTCAATTTTTTTTTGCCTATTAGATCACTAATATGACGAAAGCGACTAAAGACAGTGTTGGTCGGGTCTACGAGGCAGAACAGAAAGCCTGTGAGGAGGAGGATGAGGGCCCCAGTGGCTGGGCAGCGAGCAGCCCCCTGAGTCTAGAAGAAGCGCCACGCTCAGCACCAAATTTTGTGTCTAGTCTCCGCTCCACCAAATCCCACTGACTAGGCCAGGTAAAGACTTTGTGCGCAGTAAGAAACCAAGTAATTACAGTTCAACCACCAAAAGTCCCTTAAAATAGTGTCTCATTAGTGTTGTGCCTATAAACTGATACTTCATGTAAACCAACTCTTCAGTCATTTAATAACACTTTAATCTTACAACAAGATTTCCATCTGTCTGGGAGAGAATGACTACCGTAACAGCTACAGGAACTCGGTCTGAATATCATTTTGCAAACATGTCAGAGATACTTATTTACTTCATGATGAAGCAAGGTCAGAGCTACTTAGTATGGGAGGGAAAGGTCGTATCACCTAAGTCCCACAAAGAAAATGAGGATGGTGAGGAAGCAGAGACATCTAGGTCTCTGGGGAAAAACAGAGAGGTCAGCTGGTGAATTCTGTGTTTGGTGGACAGGTGAAGGTAACTTGTGCAGAACAGGGATTCAAAGGCAGTGGCAAAGCTGGGCCTCAGTGAGGAGGGCTGTGTCCCCTGGGACCACCCGTCTCCCACGTTTTGTGGGGTTTCCAGAACGAGAACTGGATGAGCAGTGTTCTGATATGTTTTCCCGGGATAAACTGAACTAAAATACAGCAGCATAATTCTGCGCAATTTTTTAAAATTTATTTTTCATTGAATTTATTGAGGTGATATTGGTTAATAAAATTATACTAGGTTCAGGTACAATTCTATAAGACATCACCTGCATATTGTACTGTGTGTTCACCACCCCAAGTCGAGTCTCCTTCCATCCCCATTCATCCCCCCTCCACCCTCTCCCACCTCCCCCACACCCCTCCCCTCAACTCTGTGCTATTTGGTATGGTCTGTTAACTTGACCTTTTTCTGAACAGATTCTCTTACATTGAACACGAGAGCCCACAGTCATAGACAGAATGAAAGTTATTTTAAGACTTACAGTATGAGTAGCTTCATGTTATAGTGAAAAGGCTGTGGATTTAGAATGATAAAAGCTATGTTTAGTCCTGAATCCATCAATTATCCCCATAAATAAAATGTAGATAATTGAAATACTGCTTTGCAACAGTGTTGTGTAGAACAGCGAGAAAATACGTGAAATCCCTCCAGAAACGGTGAAGCAGATTTTACTATTCGGTAGTAAAACAACACACCCCTCCTCTCCAGGGAGGCCGTACCTTGGAGTGATAGAAGGCCAGGATGGGTCTGTTGAGCGGGAAACAGACGGAGCCTGTGGACAGAACAGCCACTGCAGGCTTCATGACACTCAGCGTGGCACCGAAGGGGTACACAAAGGTGAGGGCCCTGCAAGGCATCAAAGAAACACTCCAACTCTTCAAAATATTGAATAAAAACATTTTCAAGGTAATCTCAGTGTTTCTTCAGCAATTCATCATCAAACACAGAATTTCCTCAAAGCTTTGGTTTGTTAATACAAAAAGTGGTATAACTCTCACTACGAGTTCAATAACACACTTTAAGAAAATGAATGTAAATTTACAACCGTATGTGCCCATGACTGTAGCTGTCAGACTCCAGGAGCCCCTACGGAGGGGAAGGGCGGGGAGCCTCACCTAAGAACGGAACCGGGGCACCGCATGAGCCCGCCCTGTACGTTTTCCTCGCCCTCAGAGACCTGCCCAGCCCCTTCTCTAAGAATGAACGCCTGCCGTCAGAAGGGCGTGGTGCCAGGTGAGTGCTCACATGAACAGAGGCGAGTATCCACCCCACCTGGACACTTCTGCCCTGGCCTGCCGTGGAGCCCGCCTCCCCTCCCCGCCGTCCCAAGTGAATCAGCCTGACTTGGACAAAGTACACGTGGAACGGGTGTGGGGAGGAGGGGGGGGAAGTAGGATGCAGATCCTGGGGCAAGGCCAACCCATGCGGGAGGGGCGAGGGTTTCAGAGAAAGAAAGCTGCAGCTCTGCAAAGGCAGTTGTTTGAGGGAAGTACTCTCAGAATGAAGAAAAGTGGGAAGGTCAAAACAAGAGCACAGCCCTGGCCAGTGTGGCTCGGTTGGCTGGGCTTCGTCCCTGGTCAGGGCACAAACCAGAGGCAACCTACTGATGCTTCTCTCCCTCTTTATCCCTCCCTTCACCTCCAAATAAATAAATAACTGGAGCATGAAGTTAGAAACTAGGGAGGTTGGAGGGGCATGGGAGTCTCCTATGAAGAGTTTAACTTCCCTTTCCCCTTAGGCCATGAGAAAATTCTGTTTAGCTTACGTTTGAAATGATTTCTTTCCAGTGTTAGCTGTCCCCATTCTCTCAGTAAAGTCTCATCTATTCCTTTTACAAACTGCTGATGAATAAGATTAGCTGGGTGAAGAGCTGGGGAAAGAACTTTCTGGGAGAGGGTACAAATATGTAAAGGCCCGAAGGGGAGAATGAGCTCAGCCTATCTAAGGAACTGATGAAGCACAGGTAATGTGGCTACAGCAGTGACAGCAGGAGAAAGGGACAAGAAACTGGGCTCAAAGAACATATATGACTCCAAGAAGCCAAGACACTTGAAAGCACAAAGTAGGACTGATTGCCCACATCTCAAAGCCCACTCAGAGGCTGTGCTGCTTCCGGGTCAACCGGAAAACAAAAACCAGCCATCTGCCCTTCACCACGATTTCCCAGGAAGGAGTAATCAACAGTGGGTAAGGTACTCTTCCTTGTACCACTAAGCACTGTCGCAGGTATCAGCTCACTAGAGCTTCCCAGCAACTTCGTAAGATTATTACTGGTCCCACTGCAAGTATAGAAACAGAAGCCCAGAGTCACTTTGCCCTGGGTCACCCTGCAAGTAAGACGCTGAGACAGGTCAGTGAGCCAGGAGAAGTGGACAGGGAAATGAAGACAGACAGTAAAGTCCAAGCAGTCTGCAGCCATCTATGAAATCCCATCTTCCCCAAACCAAGGATACTTAAGAGGAAATGGTTTACACTTCCCCTCCCCAGCCAGAGGGCCACAGCTTAAATCACTCTATTCAGGGAGATAACAGAAATCCAACTGGCCCCATTTGTGCCAACCACACCCAACAATGGGTGAATTCCAGGGAACTAATCACATTTTGGTGCATCAGCAGGAAGCTGATGAATATTCTATTGAGATCCCCCCCTTTAGAAAACAGGTAAAAACCCTCAACACAAAGCCCTAGTTGGCTCTGTTTGGAACACGCCCTCACCTTTCTTCCCTCTCAGGTGTGCATCTTTACTTTTGTCTCCTAAACTCTAAGGGGCCCCAGGAGACATGCAACCAGGGAACAATGGCAGCTCTTCCTGGGCTTCTGCCTGAACCTGTCTGTAAGTCCCCTTTTCTCTGTGACTTCTCAGTGAGCTAACCGCAGCCCCACCAGGCTCACTTCTGTCCCTGCGACTTTCACTTCTCAGTGAGTCCACGCATCCCTGCACGGCCCACTTCTTTCCTGTAACATTTCTAGAGGTTCGAAGCAGAGCCTCGCCCAGGGTCTCTCCTGCTGCTTCTCCTACCCCAAGCCCTTCCTTGTCTCACTGTCCCCATCTTTAACTGACGACTATCAGTATCACTTGGACTCCTGGTTGGAAATCTTTCCTGCACGAAGTCAACCCACACACTGCAGGCCGGCCTGAGGCAGACCCAACTCTGGGGCCAGTCCCTTTCTGACAACATGAAATCTGGAACTTCTCAACTCTTTCTAACTGCAAGCCTACAGCTCTGTTACCTACACAAACTGGATGAACTAATATGAAGCTCAAGACTTAGACAGTGATCCCTGAATGTCAACATTTAATTCTATTGTGTACGTTGTTAGCCAGTTTCCCCTGTATGGCCTTCCTTGGCTTCATACTAAGAAAGATCTACCCGACTCTAAGGTTATAAAAAAAATTCACCTATATTTTCTTTTAGTTGTTTTTTTTGCTTACATTTTTAATATTTAAAATTTTAATCCATCTGAAATATATTTTGGGGTGTGGTGTAAAAATGGAAATGTTTTTCCAAATGGTTAGCCACGATGATGCCATCTATGCCTCAGTAATTTGAAATGTCACTTTTGCAATAAAATAATCCCAACCCTCCATTTATCTTTTTGGCCTAATTTTTAATTTGTTTTTATTACTTTTTACTACTTCTGCATTAGCAAGTACCAAATTACTTTAATTCTAGAGCTTTGAAGGATGCTTTAACTACATGAAAGCACTCAACTTTTGTGGGGCAAAGTACCCCAAAGTAAAAATGTAAACTGGGAAAAATATCTGCAGTGCATGGAGGGCTATGAATAAGACAGACCATCAGTAGAAAAACGGGCAGGAAGCGGTACACAGGGAACTTGCAGAGTACAATCAGCCGACAGACCCTGGAGGCCACACCACTTAGCAGTCAAGGAAGTGTGCGTTAGAATAAAGGGACGCCATTTTCACTAGCATACTGCAGGCTGGCACGAGAAGAGAAAAAGGTGTGTGTTCCCATGGACCCCGTGCTACAAACTCCCCGGAGGGCAGGCTGACCAAGCAGCGCATTTGGCCAAGTGTCAGTTGGGAGACCTTTGACCCAGAAATTCCAATGCTAAAAATCTAAACCACTGAAATATTAGCACAAATGCACAAAAACTGTACCCACAAAGATGTTCGCTCTGTGCTTTGTTACTTATGGTAACAAATATGAAACTGTTTATAGCAACAACGTGGACCAGGCCCTGCAGCAGACTGGGTAGCTCTGGCACTAAACTCTGACGGTGAGTTCAGTTAATCGGTCTCTGTTATCTTGTCCAGAACCTCAAATGAGGTAATACATGCCAGTCACACAGCAAGTGCTTGATGAATGTCGGATGGCATTATTAAAGCAAAATATTATACTGCCCTGGCTGGTGTGGCTCAGTGGACTGAGGGCCAAGCCTGCAAACTGGAAGGTCTCTGGTTCGATTCCCAGTCAGGGCACATGACTGGGTTGCAAGCCGGGTCGCCGGTTGGGAGCATGCAAGAGGCAAAATTGATCAAGGTTTCTCAATCTCTCCCTCTTTTCTCCCTCCTTTCCCTTCTCTCTAAAAATAAATAAATAAAATCTTTAATAAACAAAAATATTATAAATTACCTAAATATTCTACATTAGTTAGATAAATTGAGATAAACCCAATTTTATCTAGTCATTATATATGTAAAAGAATCTAGAAACCTAAATACCATACTGTTAAGACCGAATATGTTTGGCATGGATTTATAGTAAAGGTCTTTCTTTTTTTTTTCTTCAGAAAAAAATCTATTCTTTTTTATATTTTCTTCAAACTCCTTTAATGTGTGGCTTGATAGAAACCTACATTTTTTTCAAAGATTTTGTTTATTTACTTTTAGAGAGAAAGGAAGGAGAGGGAAAGAAACATCAATGCGTGGCTGCCTCTCATGTGCCCCCCACTGGGGATCCAGCCTGCAACCTGGGCACGTGCCCCAACTGGGAATCGAACTAGCAACTCTTTGGTTCCCCCGATGCTCACTCCGCTGAGCTACACCAGCCAGGGCAGAAGCCTACATTTTTTAATACCTGCTTCTGCTTTCTTTTTTTTACCATTCAAGATTTCTGGTATCAGTTTCAGTGTATACAGCACAGTGGTTAGAGAGTCGTGTATTTTGAACCACTCCAATTGTTTGTTTGGTGAGAATCACTTCTGTAATCCAAAGCTCCCCACTCTGGAGCAGAACACCCTTCGCAGCGACACAGCCCCGTCTGCAGGCGGCCTCAGAGAGCACACTCACTGGGCGTCGTTCCCGCCGCTCTCCTCGTCCAGGATGCCAGGCACCATCTTCCCTGCAGCTCGGCTCATTTCCCTTGAAGAAAAATATTAAAATCTAGTAAACTAAAAAAATTTAGGAATTCCACACTCCGCTCATTAGTAGCACAATCTGGATGCAAGGGCTTTGCAGACCTGTTCGAGATACAATTCTCGGTAACTGAGGGTGTATACCCTCCACACACCTACACCTCTTTTGGAAAACTTGCCAAAGTTAACATTAAAGTATGAGGATCAGTTCCTGTTTCTTGAGACCTAAGGGAAGAGTCCATACACTCAACCCATATTCTAGTCTAGTATTCTAGACTCTGTATCATCAGACCCAGCAGAGCACCTGGGTTTAAGTAGCAAGTTCAAGTGTGGAACGAGTCATTTTTAATGCAGGGAGAAGCTCACAGAGCTGACGTGGTCCCCTCATGTACTCACTCATTTCCCATTTCCCCCCCAAAGCCCGTAATTTATATTTTAGGCTCCAGTGACCAGAAAAGACTGACTTCGTCCCAGGTGCCAGGGGTGGAGAAAATGACCTAGTTCTGCCATCAGGACATGCTCTGCCCTCTGCCACGGTGACCCACCAGGAGTCTCAGGACCACTTTTGATGGGAATGCTGGGACCAAGGCACACACACTCTCCTTCCCGAGATGGTGTGGCAGGTGGCGGTGAATCTGAGAACGGTTACACCTACTCAGCCCACACTGCCAGGACAGCAGATCCAAGAGAAGTACGGGGAAGCGGAACTGGAGCCCCCATCCAAAACACATCCTACTGCTGTGCTTTTCAATCACATGAGTCAATAAAGTCTATTGTTTAATCCCACTGGAATAGGATTTGCTGTTGCTTGTAAATGCCTGTATTCCAACTGAAAAAAGGGCGAATGTGGAGTGAGGTTTCAAAAGATGGGAGGAACATAAGTTGATGAGTGAGAAGTAATACAGTAAAATAAATTATACAATGAAAGCATATAAAACAAAAGAAAAAGAGAAAAGAAAGGCTAGTGAGAAGAACGTGGGAGAAGAGATGAGGGAAGATTCACATAGGAAAGATGAGTCATTTACAAAGACCATTCTGCTTTCGACATGCTTACCTATTTAACACTCCATTGGAAACCAGCGCTTCTTTAGGATGGAAATACTTATAATATACATTTCTAACCACAGCATCTTTAAGGAGAAGACAGAGGAAGGTGCGTTTTAGGTTAGAAGTTTGATATTAGAGACTTCAACCTGAAAGGAACTCTAGTCCCATCCCTCTCACTTATAAACAGAAGCCGCCCAGACCCAGAAGGTCCGGAGTACGAGTAAGGGCCAGACCACGTGCCCTCACAGGCCAAGGCTCTGGCCACTGTCCCAGTTGGCCCACAGGGCTACAGTATGAATAGTGAATAGGAAACTACTGCTTCTATTAAGTTAATAATAGTAATTACCACTATTAACCATGATTCCATACTCCTCTAGGAGAAAGTTGATATTGGTGTCGAATCTGGACTCCCCACCCTCTCCTAGCATCACCAGGATATCTCCACCGCCGTCCAGGTATTTCTTCAGGACCTCAAACTGCACAAAGGGAAGACACAATCTGTGAATACACTCAAAGACTTCTGTCTAACACACTATGAATAAGACCTTTACTACCTGAAAAATAGACACTTTGAAACTATATGGCACTTAAATATAAACGTAGGTAAGATGATATAAAATGTACTCTCTGTGTAGCATTTCCAAGCTTGTCTTTGAACACCAAACTGCAGTCCTGGCCAGGCAGCTCCCTTGGTTAGAGCGTCGCCCTGACACAGCAATGCCGCCAGTCTGTCCCCAGTCAGGGCGCCTACGAGAACCAACCAAGGAACATACGACCACACGGCACAGCAACTCACGTGTCTGTCTCTCTGCCCCTTCTTCTGTCTCTCCAAAATCAATCAATAAAAATGAATAAACAAACATAAAGCCCCCAAATAACCAAACTAAATGGCTATTTTCCAAGTTGACCACCTAGAGAGCGAATCAGAGTGGAAAACTTTCAGCTAAAGCAAGCGCACCGGCCTCCTGCATTCAGCAGCATCCCTGCTCCTTAACTTACTAGATGCCGACCGCGCCTGCTCTCTCCTGACCGCCAGAAATGTCTCCAGACAGTGCCAAGTGTGCCCAGGCACCGTCTCGGACCTCTCCCTGGATGCTCTCACTTTCACGAGGCTGCTCCTTCCCTGGCTAAGACCTGGTCACTCCTCTGTCTTCCCTAGGTGAAGGGAGGCAGGTGAGGGAGAAACTACCCTGGAGTTAGGACGAGACCTGACAAGTCAGGAAGTATTCCTTTGCAGGCCACCACCGCTGGGTGGGCGTTTCCGTCAGAGCCTCACTGGGTCGGGTACTAGCTGGCCACCTCCATGTTCCCAACGGGAATTCTCTCAGTTCACCTCATCAAACAGTCACGTCTCTCTCCACGGCCTTCCTGGATGAGGTGGCCTTGCACTCAAGTTAAGAAAAAAAGGACAACAGAGATGCTGCCCTGTAGACCCCCTCCCCTCCACCCCCCCCCCCCGGCAAAGTAAGAGCAGGAGACCTTCCACTGCCTCAGTGTCCTCACCCTGCCTTCACCCCGCTACTCCCCACAACCCTCTCTGGGTACCAAGGCACTTCTCCAACTCTCTGCACTCTTCCTGTGTTCTGGGTTTTATGTTTTTTAAACTATGGTAAAATACACATAACACAGATTTACCATCTTAACCATTTTAAGTGTACAGTTCAATAGTATTAAGTACATTCATGCCGCTGTGCAACCAACCTACAGAACTCTTCATCTTGCAAAACTAAAACTAAATGTGGAATTAAACAATTCCACATTTCCCTCTTCCACCCCTAGCCCCCGGCAACTGCCATTCTAATTTTCTCTTTATAAATGTGGCTACCCTGGGTACCTCATGTAAGTGGAATAGTACAGTATCTGTCTTTTTGTGACTGGCTCATTCACTTCACATACTGCCCTTGATATTCATTCACTTCGTAGCATGTATCAGAATTGCCTTCTTTTTTAAGACTGAAAAGTCCAGCCATTGTTAACATAACGAGAATAGTTTGCATGACATCGATGTAACCTGGAAGCCAAGAAGAGTGAACTGGAATGTGCCTGCGTGAACGATGACGACTTCACTGTGCTAGTTGGTGGGAGTGGTAGACGCCACTGAGTGAGCATGTGTACTCTGTGGCCATCCCATTCAAAATGACTGAGTAGAGGAACACCTCTGCATCAAATTTTGCGTTAAGCTTGAACACTGCTCTGTGGAAACTGCTCAAATGATTCAGAAGGCTGCAGCTGTGGGCAACTGGTGATTGGCAGCTTCATCACAACAATGCACCCACTCACACATCACGTCTTGTGCAGTTCTTTGGTGAAAGCTCAAATCACCCAGGTGATTCAGCCTCTCTACAGCCAAGATTTTGTGCCCTGTGACTTCTGGCTTTTCCCAAAACTAAAATCGCCTTTGAAAGGGAATGGATTTCAGACCATTAGTGAGACTCAGGAAAATATGACAGGGCAGCTGATGACAATTGGGACAACTGTGTGAGGTCCCAACGTGCCTACTTTGAAGGGGACTGAGGAGACATCATTGCCCTACGTACAATGTTTCTTGTATCTTCTCCAATAAATGCTTCTATTTTTTCATGACACGTGGCTGGATACTTTCTGGACAGACCTGGTACACAAGATATTTTGTTATCCTTTCATCTGTTGGGTCGCGACACTTGGGTCGTGTCCACCGTTTGGCTATTGTGAATAATATAAACGTGGATGCACAAATCTCTAACTCTTTGAGATGCCGCTTTTAGTTCTTTTGGATACATGTACATCCAGAAGTGAGACTGTCGGCTCATGTAACGCCACTTTTGACTTTGAGGGACCACCAGGCTGTGCGAAGTGCAGTTTTGTTTTTACCGCCAGTGCACAGGGCTCCAGTTTCTTTACGTCTTTGCCACCACTTGGTATGCGTGTTCTGGGTCTTGTCCATTCCATGAAATAAAATAAAAAATGGTTTGATTTAAAATGGGATTTTCCTATTTTCAAAGCAAGAACATGGCAAAGAAATACAGCTGATACTGAATCAGCCTGCAGTGTAGGTGTGGCACTTTACATGCATGATCTCATTTAATCAGCTCAACAATTCAACGATGGAGAGAGAGATGAAGTCATTACCTTAAGGCAACACGGTAAGTGATCTGTAAGAATTTAAGTCCAGGACCTCAGAGCCCAGGCTCCTAACCACCTCATCACAGTTCTTCTTTGCGGGTATTTCTTACCTCGGCTGCAGTGAATTTTTCCCTTGGCCCAGATGTAATCCACAGTTTCACCCCAATTAACTTCTCGGATGTGATTTCATCTTTTAAGCTACAAATATGATTTTAAAAGCAAGTGTTAGATCCATAATTAAAGTGTTAGATCCCAATTTATGAGCCGTATTAGTCTCTAGGCTGAATGGGAAAAGAGGCCACAGAGGCCCGGAGATGAAAGTATTTAAAGGTACCCAGTCTAGCCCCTCTCCCAAAGCGAGAATCCCCTCTACGAACTTGCACCCGAGTTGCTGGCCTCTCCTCAAATACTTCCTATAAGTCAAATTAAACTGTGCTGGAGCATAAAGAATCCTCCAACTACTACTGCAATCAGCTCTCCTACTAGCTTGTATGATTACATATCCTTCCCCACTAAGAAAAACTACGCATCGCCCTGGCTGGTGTAACTCAGTGGATTGAGCACAGGCCTGCAAACCAGAGGACTGAGGTTCAATTCCCAGTCAGGGCACATGCCTGGGTTGCACAGTTCCCAGCAGGGGATGCACAAGAGGAAACCATACATTGATATTTCTCTCCCTCTCTCCTTCCCTTCCCCTCTAAAGATAAATAAATAAAATCTTAAAAAAAAACAAAACTACACATCTACAAAAACAGAGAAATATTCTCGTTTTCCCTTTCTCTAAACTGTACTATCAACACAAGTTGAAATATGAAAAAATCCTCTAACCTCTTAAAAAGTTGTATATGTGTCATTAGAATAATTTTTTATTTGTGACTTTGGGGACAACTTGATAATATGCTAATTGCCAATTTTCCAAAGAGATGCTTTAATAATTTCTTTACTTCTGAATGATCTTTGTATTGAGCTCCTCCCACGTACACAATCTGTCTTACATAAGAAAGTAAAGACTTTCACTTTTAACCAACAGGCTATTATCTGGAAGGGAAAACAATTCACAAGGTCACCTCTGAATTTTCCAGTTGCTCCGAAGCCGCTTCTGCATGGATTTATAGCCATTGGTGGTGGTAAAGACTTCCTTTTTGTACACATTGAAAAGAATGGTGCTCCGAAGCTCTTTCTCCATGGTTACCTATGGAAAAAAGAAGGGATCAGAAAAAGAGAAACAATAAAAAATATTCCAAAACACCCCACAAGGAACAAAATAGTCGATTTCTTCTAATTTAATGAGAAAGGATATAAAGCTGCAACCAGCCTATGAAATCTCTGTGATTCTCGAAGGTTGGGAGTGAAATGCATACTCATAGCAGCAGAAACCCAAGGCCAACACTGGTGACCAGCCTACTCCCATGGCGCTGCCCCGCCATCATCCTGCCCCTGAGGGAAACCATGATTCTGCACTGCTCACTACTGTTAACTGGGGCGTATGGTCTTCTAGGTTCTTTTTATACACACATTAACTTACAGATTTATTTACGAAATAGGATCGTATCATATGCAGTATCTTCCAACACTTTTTTCCACCTAATCCTGTATCTTTCACACCTTTCCATGCTGGTACATAGGCGTCATTTTTTTTAAACTGCTGCACAGCATTGCATTTTATGGATGTACCATTATTAACTAGTTATATACAGATTGACATCTCTTTTCTTTTTTCAAAATTTTTGCTAGTAAAACAATGCTGCAAATATCAACCATCCTTGAGCATGATTTTTTAAAAGGTTTATTTATTTTTTAGAGAGAGGGGAAGGGAGGGAGAAAGAGAGGGAGAGAAACATCAACGTGTAGTTGCCTCACGTGAGGGGACCTGGCCTGCAACCCAGGCATGTGCCCTGACTGGGAACTGAACTGGCAACCCTTTGGCTCACAGCCCACACTCAATCCACTGAGCTGCACCAGCCGGGGCTGAGCATGAGCACGTCTTTGTGTACTTTTCATATTTGTAGAATAAATTTCTACCTGTTGAATGACTAAATTATTTCCATACTGCCCTCCGAACAGTTGTAATTTTCACTTCCACTCATTCTAACCCTGTTTCTAGTCACTTTCACCTCTTCTAAGACAGGCTCCCCCCATTATTGTTTAATTAGCACTTTCAAACAGTGAATGGCCATCTTTCACTATGCATATTGGCTACTTGTATTTCTTCTGATTTTCTCGTCCATGCACTCTCCTTATTCTTCTATTTGCTTTAATATTTTTCTAATCAATCATTCAACAAATACTTTCATAAATTTATTTGTCTTTAGATGTAGCTTATGGGAGTTTTTCTTTTGGTTTGGTTTGGTGAAATTTTGCAGGTCATATAGAGGTTTTAATTTTATAGAATCAAAAGTTTTAATCTTTTCCTTTTGGGCTTCTGGTTTGTATGATATATTTTGAAGAGTTTTTGCCATGCTAAGATTATAAATACACCCAATGATGCTTTCCTCCTGTATTTTTATGTCATTTTTAAATTTTTTGGTCCATTTGGCATTTATGTTGGTGCTCAAAAAGAATTTGTTGTTTTTTTACCAGAGAGCTGTCTGACACCAATCCAACTTTTCAATGCTGATTTACAACATCACCTACAAATATCTGGATTTCATTCTGAATATGACATATTCTACCCGACTGTAAGTTTCTGCTCAGTTCCATACTATTTTAATTACTGTCACTTTACATGTTATTATTTCCGATGGTACTGGAGAGCTAATCCCCCTTATTACTCTTAATTTTTAGATATTTAGCTAGTCTTACATATTGACTTTTGCAGTTTAATTTTAAAATCATTTTGGCAGGTTAGCAAAAAACTGCCCCCATGAACCCACCACAGCTATCTTTTAATGTTTCACCCCATCCCTGAGCGTATTTACAATGTTGTATTCTGCTTTCTCCAGTTCCCTACAGGAAAAGTCTTCAAAGTCTGTCGCATGGTTGTCATTATCAACTGAACTACTGGCTTCATGGCCATCTTCAATTCTCTACCATCAGATATAACTGGAATTTATTCCTGCTTTGCCATTATTTTTACTCTAGAACGGATTCCGAAGAACAGTATTTCTAGGAAAAGGGGATGAGAATAATAAGCTGTTACGAGTCCTTCTCCAATGTTCTTTCATACCCAGCAGGACCACTGAAAATCCGCAGAGCAGGAGGCAAAGGACACTCGAACCCAGTCCAGGGTCCAGATTCAGGCCTATATCCGTGTCCAGTTTACCCAAGACAACCTCTATTCTCCGTAAGACTGGCCCAGAGGTCCCCAGGACAGTCCGGCGAGACCCTCGCCAGTGCCAGGCCGCCCCAGCGCCCCGGCCAGCCCATGACAGTTGCAGCTCGTCCTACCTGAGGCCCAGGAACCACCATCTTCACCTAACACGGTCCAGCATCCCGCAGCCAAGCATCCAAGGGCGCTTAGCAACAGCGGAGGCCCAGCGGGAGGCTCGAAAGGCGTGAACTCGGGAGTGGTTGTACCTCCGGAGCCACGTGATGACGACAGTGCTGAAGACGCCAATGAGCCTCGAGCGTCGGAATGGTGGTAGGGGGAGGAGCTACCGTGGGACTGTACCATTATTTTGATTGAGGGCTAAATCTAAACAGAACGTGAATTAACTTTATGCCAAATATAAAACAACTTAATTGTGTCCTTAGTATCAAGTCTTATAAACACTAATAAAAATGGTCAGTCCCAAGGGCCTAAAGTTCACTCGACCCTGCAGAAAGAGAATAGTGAAGGCTCCCAACGCCGGTAGAGGGGTTGTTGAGGAACGCCCCAGACCGGATCCCGAGAGCGCAGGCGCAGAAGAGGCAAAGGGCGGGGCTTTGCGGCTGAGACCCGGAGGTGGCGTCCGAAAACTGATGAAAGAGACTAGAACAGTGATGCAAACGAGTTTCGGCTCCCTGGGACATTGGGGTCAGTTTTCCGGAGGACAGTGGGCAGGTTTAATGGTGAGAAGGGTAACATGAGCTAGTTCTTTCACTTTGATTAGTCCCGCATCTCTGAACACCGCAGTTCCTGGCCCAGGGTATAGCGGTGAACTCGCCCTCAAGAGGCGCCCCCAGGTGGGGAGGGAGTTAGACTCGGCCAGATCCTACAGAAAAAGTGAAAATATAAACTGTCTTAAGGAGCTGTGAGGGCTGGAGCTGGGCAGAAAGGCGCCTGCAATGAGCAGAGATGTGAAAGAAAAGTGGCATTCATTAAGGCAAGGGTTGCAAAGAGCCAGCCAGCAGAAGGAACTGCTAATGCGAAAGAGACATCGCCTTGAGAATGAGAAACTCCGCCGGGGAGCGCTCCGCGTCCTGAGCCTGGGGACTTTGGTGCAATGCCACCCACCCACCTCGCTGGCTCAACTCGATGAGAGCAGGGACAGTTTCGATTTCAATTTATGTTTGTTAGAATCTTCAACATGTATAAAGTGGTAGGGGTTAGGGGATCTTAAACACACAGCTCTTGTTGCCTTTTCACAGTTACTGTCATTGCGGAATTAAACGGTGGAGGAGGGCAATTGAGAACTCTCTTCCTAGGGTCGCTGTATTTAGGTGCAAAATTGGGTAGATGCACAGTCTTCAGCGAGGTATAAAAATGGAAGTGATGTGTTTCCACTGTAGAGACAGTAGGCTATGTCACTTGAGAGTTGGCACAGGTCTTGGGATCCTTCTGCTCCGTGTGGAGTGAGTGAGTGCTAGAAGATGGAAAAAGTACCTCCCCAGAGCACTTCTCCCACTGTTGGGGGTTGGAGAAAAAGCAAGGGTCTTAGAATCAGCCGCCACCAAGTTCAGTTCCTGGCTGTGCCTTATACCAGCTGGGTGACCCTGGGCAAGTTGGTTAATCTCTCTGAGCAAATGTTCCTTATCTATAAAGGAGGTTAATTTTTTAATGCTGGCTCACTGTGAGGTGTGTAGATAATGTACATAACACTCAGAACATGCTCAGCAAACATAGGTGTAGCATGATCAATTCTATATCATAGTTTTTCTTCATTTTAATTTTCTATCCTGGTGAAAATTTTGTGATCTTACAGTCTTTGAACAGATCATTATGTGTTTCACAGTACAGCAGATTGTGTACTTTTGACGGTACTAGTACATTTTGGATAATTACAGTCTCTTGTTTTTTGGTTTGGGAAATTGGGGGAATTTTGGCCCCTCCCTCCTGTTCTACATTTGTCAATCAGCAGACACTGTGAAGACAGAAATCAAATCAGTGTTTCAGAGTTCTCAGTGCACATCAGAGGTCTCTTTGGTCTCCACCGTCTGTGTCACTGGTGTGTTCTCCATGGTCTTCAGCTTCATCCCCTTATAATTCCTGGGGTGGCAATGGGGAGTAGGCTGTCCTGGATAAATGGAGGAAAGGACCAAATTAAGAAAAGGCAATAAAAGTCGCAGCACACACTGATGTTAAGAAAGTTCCTCTCTTATTAACAAACCAAAAAGCTAATGAGTAGACGATGAACCACAGGTTTTTGAAAAAGAAGTCGCTTTCCACCGAAATCCGCATGATCCATCCCTACAAGTAAGTGCAGGGTGTTCTGAATTCATGAGGTTATGTGCTCCTGTTCTGTCCAGAATTACCTTGAGAAATAACAAGATCACATGGAGCTCTACAGGTGGCTGGGAAGCTGTGGTCCCCAAGCTGGCACCAGCCCCGAGCCCTGTCCAAGGCCTGGGCTCCTGGCCTTAGACTTGCTAAACATACAGGACAGGTGAGGTGGAGCACACCATGAACTTGGCAGCTAGGCCCAGACCCTGAGTGAGTTGAATGTCTCCTCTTCCACACGCCACTTCCCACCACCTAGTTTATCCTGATCACTTCCTGACTTGGTTCTCATTTTGTCAGCCATTTTGTTGGACCTAAAGGACTGGGAGGCAGATGAGCACAGAGGTTACATGTGAGAGCCCGGACTCAGCCTGTAGGGCTCTGAGTCCCAGCCCTGGCTCCTACTAGCTATGGGACCAGGCAAGGAACAACCTCTGTGACCCTGTTACTTGACTGGTTTAAAAAGGGTCTGTAATAGTTCTCACCTTAGGGTTGTTTGGATAAAAACTGAAAACAGACTTGAAAGAGTCTAGCACAGAAACTGCTTCTGCATAGGCTGGTTTTCTGAAACTGACTGGACAATTAAGCCAAAAAAGGGATGGGGATTTTTAAAAGGATCAGAAGCTCTCACAGCTAGAGGACGAGGCTCAGGGCTTCCCAGGACTGAGGGGAATGACACCACAGCACTGACATGAAGAAACCGCTGCTGCTGCTGCTGCGGCTGCGGCTGCTGCCACAGGGTCCCAATTGCCACAACTTACATCGTTGCCTCCTCTACACCAGGAACTCGGTTTTGTGGGTACCGTCACCACAGCTACCACATGAAAGGGAGCTGCCAGTCCCTTCTTTGAGTCAAAATCTGGCCCAGCTGCATTCCTGGGTCACATGCCTGGCCCTGGCTGCAAGGGAGGCTGGGAAAGTAACTGTCCAGCTACTTTCAATGGAGGTACCTCAGCCAGACTCATGAAGTAGGAGATTGCCTGAATAGAGGGAGTTCAGATGCCAGGCAGACAGATCTAACAACAAATGTCTAACACTGTCTGCAATAAAGAGAAACACCATCAGCATCAGGAAATAAGAGAGGATGTTGGGTGCTACCCTATAGGCTTGTCACATCTCTGTCATTCACACTTTGAGATAAAAATCTAGTCGCCAAGAAGCCCTGCTGGTTGCTTACCCAACATTTTCCTCCTCTTCCCTTCGTGTCAAAACGCCTATTTATTAGGGGTAATACTGTGCCAGCTCATAAGTCCCACATCCCAGGCTCCATGACAGGTAGGCATGGGTGGCTAACAGGCAGAGTCGGTGGGTGGGGCTTCTGGGAAACTAAAAAAGTATCCTTTTGCTCTTCCCTCCTTCCTCCTTTCTTCTCCTGCCCAGAACTCAAAAGCAATGGCTAGAGCTCCAGTAACCGCCCTATGATAATGTAGCAACTAATATTGAGGCCATCTGCCTAGGATGGCAGAACAAAATATAGAAAGCCCCTGAGTATCTGATGACCTGGAGCACCAGCCCTGGGCCACCCAATACAATTCTTTATGTGCTGGGGAAACAAAATCTTATTTAAGCCATTGTTTCTTTGAGTCTCTGCCCTTAGCAGCTGAAGGTGATTCCTTACAGATCCAGCTTCCTTCAAGAGGTGTCACAGGGACTTCTGTCCTAGCAATCCAAGGCGGCGTCATCCTCTGGTGCATAGGAAAATCCCAGGAATGCACTTGAGCCCCCAGAGCTGCTGGCCACAGTGTCCGGAGTGCAGCCAATGGACTTTGACACAGCTTCCTGAGTGAACTCTGGGTCAAAGTGTTTCAAGTCAGCAGGTCCTGCCTGTGAATATAAGCCAACAATGGAACACAGGCGTCAGAGCTGCCCAAGGAAGCCACAAGCCCTGAGAGGGATGCTGGGCCTTTCCTCTGAGCACTTTGTGGACACCCTTTCTTATTGTCACTTACCCATGAGTTTACATCATTTTATTCCATGAGGTCCAATAACCACATATCAGCTCATGCCCACTCCACAATAACCCTAAGACAAGCCTCATCAACATATACTGACCAAAATGCCTTCTAGGCACTGTTCATGGCCCTGGGAATACAGGAGAGCAAAATTGAATGGGCCCTTGCTTTCATGAAGCTTATATTATGCAAGGGGTAGGAGGACTGATAATAAACACGTACACAAATAATTTAGGGTGTTGATAGGCCTCATAAAAAATATAAAATAGGGTAATATGGTGAAGAGTGACTAGATTGCTTTAGCTATTTTGCACAAGACCTGTGAGGGAGATTATAAAAGTGGTCACAAATTCTCCATTTCTATCTGGAGATGGAGTCTCTTCCTACACCCTTTAGTAGGGGTTAGCCATGCGACTTGCTTGGGCCAATGAGACATTATTAAATGTGATGCAATCAGAGGCTTGAAAAACACACACTGGGAGTTCTCTCTTGCTGCACTTGGAACACTAAGGCCACCGTGTAAACAAGCACAGGCCATGCCCCTGGAGTCCGAGAGGCCTCATGAATAAGGACCCAGCTGCCCCAGCTGCCAAGCACGTGAGTGAGGCAATTCTAGATCATCAACCGCCAACTGACCTGCTAGCTGACTGCGGACATGAAAAAACCCAGCAGAGACTGCTGGCCTGACCCGGGCCAAAAAACCACCCAAATAACCCATAGAAGCAGAAGGAAGTAACAAATTGTTTTAAGCTACCTAGTTTGGGGGTGGCTTGTTATGCAGCAAGAGCTAGCCAATACAGCCTCTCTGTGGAGCAGGCACTGTGTGCAGAGAAGCCTGGAACAGCTGGGTTTATGCAGTAAGCAGGTGAGCAAGTGGAAGCTTCTGCAAATCTGCTCTAGTATGCAAGCCTCGGCCTGTGGAACTGAAGAGACCTTGGCTTCTAGCTTCTCAAAAAGGACACAGGACACAGTGGCACTGGCCCAGGGCCTAAAGTTTTAACTCTGGCCCTTTTTTGATGTATGGCCCTAGACAAGGCAAGTCTGTTCTGCTTTTTACAAATGAAGACACTGATGCTAAAGAAACGTCTTCAAGATCTCACAAGTGGTAGGTGACAGAACAGCAACCCACCCCCACTATGTCTCACTCTGAAGTTCATGCATTGCATTCTATTACCACCCTATCTAGTATCTTGTATATTATTCTCTCTCCAAGGTGCATGTTCAATATTATCCTGAAAGTCTTTTTTTTAATCCTCAGATAAAGACACTTTTCAATGCCTGGACTGAATGTACTCTGACAACTGATGTCAAGAACCTGAAGATCAAAGACACGTTCACAAACAGGTAAATCACCTAAGGGGAGATGTGAATAGTAACACTGGCAGCGCTGAGGTGTGCAGACCACTTGGATGAAGGGGCCTGGACATCGCTCAATGGTTAGAGGTGGCCAGGAGAGCCTCCGGTGTCCACCGGAAATGGGATTCCTTCTGTTCATACTAGCACTGCTAATTAACATGTAAAAACTAAGCGCCTTCATTGTCAACCAAAGAAACAAAAATTAAAGCAATACCAGGTGGTATTTTTTCCCTCAAATTTGCAAAGTTAAAAACAACACACACGCTGCAGAGAGTAAGAATTCTCCAGCAGGCTCCACCGGTCAGAAATGGACTGCACGCCCCAACACACAGTGGGGGCGGCGTGACTCAGGAACCGAGGAACATTCACATTCTTTGACCTGGTCGTTCTCCACCTGCTATCCCTCCCAAGGAAACAGTCAGAACTCTGGGCAAAGGTAGACACTTAAAGATGTGCATCAGTACTTTACGATCAATAGAAAGTGGTTAACAACCTGAAATTCGCCATTAGGAGCAGGGTTGGATACATTATGCCACCAACGTAGGGTTGAAATAGTATGAGCCACTTAAAATGACCCTTATAAAGTTTTATATTACATGCAGAAATGATGACATAGGCCCTGGCTGTTGTGGCTCAGTGGGCTGTGCGCCAGCCTGTGAACTAAAATGTCACTGGTTCGATTCCCAGTCAGGGCACATGCCCGGGTTGTGGGCCAGGTCCTAGGTGGGGGCATGTGAGAGGCAACTGATCCATGCATCTCTCCTCTTTCTCCCTCCCTTTTTTAAAAAAGATTTTATTTCTTTATACATTTTTAAAAAGATTTTATTTATTTATTTATTTATTTATTTAGAGGGGAAAGGAGAGAGAAAGAGAGGGAGAGAAACATCCATGTGTGGTTGCCTTTCACATGCCTCGCACCCAGGACCTGGCCCAACAAACCAGGCATGTGCCCTGACTGGGAATTTAATCTGTGACCCTTTGGTTTGCAGGCTGGCATTTAATCCACTGAGCCACAGCAGCCAGGGCAATGAAATCTTTTTTTAAAATAAAAGTAATAATGACATAGTTTTTAGCAAAAAAAAAAAAAAAAAAAAGAGGGGGGTAGGAAAAAGTATTTCTATATAAAATATAACCTAGGTAAAAAACACACAGGAATGACAGAAAGGAAACACATTAGCCATAGTTTCCCTTGGGCAATGAGATAATAACCTTTCCCCCTGTTGCTTTAAATTTCTCTGTTTTACACACTTTCTACAATGAATACATGCCATTTTTCTTATCAGGAGAAAAGCTAACCGTAGGGGGAAAATGTCTTTACAGGGCTTGGCTCCACCCAGGGGCACTGCATGACACGGAACACTTTAAAACCCGTAAAGGGCTGTGCAGTGAGAGTCACTGGTGTAAAAATGAAGAAGTGGAGGCCTGGCCCATCACACTGAGCTCAGCTGGCAGTCAGGACTCTTGGCTCTACACCCGTTCTGCCTCTAACCTTCCATGTGACCTTGGATGAAGCATGGAGCCCCTTGGATCCAGGTTTTTCCCACCTGTAGAGAGTTCGCCCAGACGCCCTGCAAACGCCCGCCAGCCCTGGCAACCCAGAGTCTAGATTGTGGTGACCTCTTACCACATTTGGGTTGAAGGGTGGCGTCAGCCTCTTGTGGTACAAGTCATCCCAGTTTATGGGGCTGAAGAATACGTGGTTCTTTATCTCGAGCTGCAGGAAGAAGGTGCTGATCAGAGGCAGCCCTCCTCGTAGACCCTCCCATCCCTCCCCGATGCCACCCCAAGCTCCAACTCTGCTGCCTGCTGACTGTCCAGCCCAAAAACCTTTACTGAGAATGCAACTTGGGTTCCTGGGATGACAGTTCTACAGCCAGGCCTCTCCCCTTTGCCATCATCAGGAACCCAGACCCTTTCTCCCATGGTATTTGTTTATGCCACATCTGTTTAGTGAACACCTACTCTGTGCAGAACCTGGTAGGCTTTGGAGGTATGTCACTGAACTAGGGTGCCCCAGGAGATCTTAGCAACCCCACCCCACTCTGCCTTAGTGCATTTGACTCTTCTGGAACTCAAACCAGAGAAACAGACAAAGCAACTCATTCTGGAAGGTTTAGGAGGGAAAGCCCCAAGAAAAGCTGTAGGCTCCCAGAGACCCAGAATTTAGGACTCAGCCCTGGGCAGGTTTCACCATTTCTTTCCTACTCCAAACCAATGTCAGTGCCAACTTTCTGCTGTCCCAGCAGGACCCCCCCCCCTTCTCTGTTTCTCAAAGAATGATTCTCCCGCCACCTATATCAGAATACCACCTTCTGGGCTTGTTAAAAAGCCAGACCCAAAATATCCCAGATCTCCCAAAACTAGTAACACTGGTTGTACCCAAGGACATTTTTTCACTACTTTTAGAGAGAGGGGGTAGAAATGATGTGATAATTGATCAATTGCTACCATATACACCCCAACCAGGGATCAAACCCGCAACCTAGGAGTATGCCCCGACTGGGAATTGAACCAGCGGTCTTTCAGTGTATGGGATGACCAACCAAGTGAGCCACACAGGCCAGACAAAATCATACATATCTTTTAAGATGCAAACTGGAAGGAATGCACTGGTTGTCCTGAAAACCTCATTCCTTAAGTTGGCCAGGGATGGGTAGACAAATGCCCTAAATGTTGTTATACTTCACGGCATCTGACATGTAGGGCTGTTGGTACAAACACTTAAAACGCACGTACTATGTTTCAGGCATTGGCCTAAGTGCCTTGCATATCTTAATCCATTTGATTTCCATAGCAGCTTCAAGCTAGGCACTATTATTACAGATGGGAAAACTGAGGCTCACAGGGAGAAGTTAAGCGTGAGTGGTGGAGGGGGGATCTGGACCAGGTACCTGTCTCCTAGTCCATGCATCTCAGCTACTCTCTGCTAGAAGAGAAAACAAACTTTGGGGAGAAAAGTACCATGGTCTTCCTTTTATAAACCCAAATGATTTTTGGTTGAGTAGAGAATGGAAGGTTATTTTTAAAATGCTATTTTAATACAAAATATACAAGAAACTTGGTAAGAAAATGGACTGTGAACTTTTCATCTCTGTATCCCGAGTGCCCAGCCTTGGCGCTGGCAAGGAGGAAGCGCTCACATATTTGTGAAAAGCCAGTTCAGTCCACTCTGCACAGAAGCCAGAGGAATTTCTTAAAACTTAACATCGACTCTTATCTCACCCCTGCTCAAAACACCCTGAAGCGTACAACTCTCCATCTTGCTCCCACCACAGGGCCTTTGCACATGCTGCCCAGTGTCTGGATGCCTCCTCCCAGCTCTGCACAAGTGGTTCATTTTCTCCTTCAAGTCTCAGCTTGGCACCTCCTCAGAGAGGACTTCCCTGACCATACCAGTGTGAATTCACCCCCTCTCATTATTATTGCCTGTCTCAGCTCACTGTTCATTTATTTCCTGACACTTGCCACACTCTGTAACAACTGTATGTAATATTTGTTCATTGTCTCTCTCCCCCTGCCCCCTTAAACTCAATAAGGGCAGAGACCCAGTCTACTGAATCCCTAGCACTTAGCTCAGTGTCTGGCACACAGTAGGTGTTCAGTAAATATTGGTTGACTAAAAGCACCAGACTGAAGGAAGTAATCAAGCAGCGGCATCTGTGCATTTCCAAATGAGCAAATTAGCTAGATGCGTGTCACTGTGCTTCTGAGCTGTCTCTGCAGGAAGGGGCCAGTGCTCCACCAGCAAGTCACCTACAAAGTCTGCTTTGGAGCCCAGCCGCTGCCTCTGGTCCTTGTGGAGAAGGGCTTGCAGGAGGTCACAGGCGGCCACCGTCCGGCCCCCAGGGATCTGCAGTGGCTCGTGCAGAATGTTCTCATACATCTGGGCTATGTCTCGGCTGTAGAAGGGTGGCTGTTGAGAGAGGGAGAGAGCTGGAGGATCACCCATGTGCAAGTGGGCACAGGTCTCAGAGAGACTTAGAGCAAAGCCGGCTTGCTGGAAGGATCAGCCAGACCTGCGTCTTATACACTGGCTCACATGGCAGACTGGAGAGGGACAGAGACCTCTGGGCTTCCACTACAGTGGACAGGGCTTCTGGGAAGGCCAAGGAGTCTCTCTGCACCTGCGTGAGGCCTGTGCACCTCCTGGGAGCATCCCCTACCCCACCTCTCGTAACCTGCTTTGTGCACTAACTTTGCACTTTGCAAGGTTCACACTCTCCCTTCATCATTGCATCCCATCCTCACAACCGTCCTTGGAGACAGGTTGCAATTGTTCAGAAGAGCAGACAAGGCTCAGCGAGACGAAAGCCTAGGCAGAGAGCCAGGCCCCAAACCGTATCCGGAGCCGTCTTTCCTGATGCTCTTCCTCCCACCTGCTCTGCCAGCCCTTCCTTCCTTATGTCCACCAAGCTCTGTTGCTGAGGCCGCCCTAGAGTGAGGCCTGGCCTGGGGCAAGTCTACATGGACCTCCACTGAAACAGGCAGCCGAGGACTGGGTCCTGGGCTGGTTGCACAACCTACCAGCACTCTGACCTTCCTGGGCCTCAGTTTCCCTTTCAGTAAATTAAAAACAACTCCATTTCCTGCAGCCACTCGCAAAAAGCTATTCTGAGGAACCAAAGGAGTAACATGGGAGATGGAGTATTGTAAAGCGCTGAACTGACATTATTGAAAAAGACACATAATCCTTGTATTCACTTTGGCATTATCTGTTTTAGCTTGGAGTGGAGAGATGGTCCGTTCAGTTCCTTGAGGACCCTGAGCAGGTGACTCAAGGGAGAGGCCCCCCCCCCGACCTCTCCCCAGAGCCAGATGTCCCTTGCAGACGGCCAGACCCCACTCACCAGGCCGTGCAGCATCTCGTAGAGAACAGCCCCCAAACACCACCAGTCCACCGCCCGATCGTAAGGCTCTTTACGAAGCACTTCTGGAGCCAGGTACTGTTGAGGGGAAACACTTAACTGAAAGACCCGCAGACTCAGCCTCTCCATTTGTAAACAGGGCACTTGCAGAAAAGATCAGGGAAGTGATGACATGTTGGGGCCACTTGTCTCCTACATGAGCCAGGGTGCCATATGCCCTGCTCCCTGCCCTTGGCAATGTCCAAGGAAGGGATGCTGGACTGTCAGGCCTGGGGAGGCCAGCTCTGTCCGGCGGACACCTGGCCATTCACAAACACAGACAATGGCTCCTGCACGGAAGGTCATTTGTCTGTTGGCTACCCTATGCCAAACTGAGGAGCTCCAGCTGTGATCTGAAGCCTGGATCATCACGCATAGGGAGAACAGCAGAGCAGAGAACGCCCTGCCTCATGCCCGCTTGGGAGGAGCTCCCCAGACCTGCAGCCTCAGTCCCACAACCCCGCCCAGACAGCTGTCCAAGCAACTGGTGACCCCTTCCGGTCTGAGGTCCAAGGGTCAACACTGGTAAGAGTTTGAGGGAAGGGCTGAACCCCAAGGCTGCATGGAGGCATTGGCAGGACAGGCAGACATAGGAATTACTGCTGAGACCCACAAATGTCAACCTTCCGGGCTCTTGGTGGATGAAAGAGGGTAGAAGAAAAGCTGTCTTTCACACACTCGCCAGCCCTGATCTTAATTGTCAGGTTAGGCCCTCCTGTTGCACATGAACTTCACCCTGTAGGGCAGCCACTATCCACATGTGGCCACCACACAGTTGAAACGTGTCTGGTCTGAGCTGAGGTGGCCCATCAGTGTAAAATACACCCCAATTTCAAAGACTTAGGAGACAAAAAACAATAAACTACTACCTCTACAATTTTATATTGATTGTATGTTGAAATGACAATATTTTGTGTACATTGGGTTCATGAAAGACATTATTAAAATTAACTTCACCTGTTTCTTTTCACTTTTTCATCTTTCCCAACATGGCTGGTGGGAAACTTCAATCGCCTGTATGATTTGCATTTCTGTTTCCATCAGACAGCACCACGGCGGAGTCACCAGCAGCTGGCCGGGCGCCCTGCCAGCTGATGCCCCCACTACACAGATGAGGAAACCAAGGCTGGGGGCACAGGCAGCTCAGGGGAAATGCTTGGGTGGGAGAGGGGAGCTCTTTTTGGTGTACGCCATTGCCTCTAATCCGGGGTTGTGGCCTCAACCCTCATAGCCTGCCTCCTCTTGGAAGCGTTAGCTCACCTCCGGGGTGCCGCAGAATGTGGACGTGGTCTTCTCCGGCTCCACCCCTTCCTTGCAGAGGCCAAAATCTGTCAGTACCACGTGTCCCTGTGGAGGAGGGGAGGAGGGGGTAGGAGGGTGGTCCAAGATTAAGGTATGGATGGCCAGGCCTAATCTTGAAGCCCAGGTGCAACACCTCAAGGCAGCCACCGTGGGGTCTGATGCCCTGCACAGGCTGAAGGCCCTACTGAAAAAACTAGGCCTTCCCGACTGGGAGCGGGGGGGGGGGGGGCGCCGTGGGGTGGGGAATGGCGTTCTGCTGTTTGCCCAGCTCATCGCAGACCCAGACCCATACCCTGTGACAGTGGCAGCTCCAGAATGTCCTTGCTGGAGGGAGCTGGTAGCAGCAGCCCCCTTGACAGAGCCCTGGGGGCCCAGGAAGCAGCCACACCTTGTGGCAGCTGGGCTGGTGGGAGGCTGGCGGAAGTTGAGGAGAGGGCAGACACCACGGGGCTCTGCCCAGATCTCCCCCTTAGGAGCTGTCCTGAGTGCCCTTCTCCCACTGCCCTTGCCCAAAGTTAGGGCCCTCCCAAGGGGCAGTTCCCGCCCAGTGACTGATGGGTGCAGGGGCACAAACACCCGGCTCACTTGCCCCAATTGAGAACAGCTCTAAAGAGCCATTTCAGCGGGGACCCTTCTCACCCCCATCAGCTGAGGCCTCACTTGCAGCCACAGTGCAGGTGAGCTTCCTCCTCTGCCCAATCCTGCCTTCTCACTCCCTTAAAGGTCTATCTCTTGAGACTGTTCCCCAATAATCTTCTGCACCCAATGTTTTAGCTCAGGATCTGTTTCCAGGGAACCAAGTCTAAGACATGGAAGGAATACAAAATTCACAAGCCTCTACCTGACTCCACCCCTGCCTCCTAGAGACCCCCATACATGCACATGCATGTACATATACACATGTTCTTATGTGCACACGATGACACATGCATGCACACATATGGCATGTGGACACATATTTGAATGCATCCCTCCATCATGTGCATGCCCATCCACACATGCTTGTGGGTGCATAGAACACGTGTGCAATGATGCACACACACATACACACACACACACACGCACGCACACCTGGCAGTCCAAGAGGATGTTCTCTGGTTTCAGGTCCCTGCAGGAAACAAGAGAACAGGCTGTGATGGCCCAGCCACTCGGTGAGGGCAGTTGGGGACCTGGGGGCCTGGTGGGAGGGAGGTTCACGGAGGCTCACAGAGAGGTCCAGGGAAGCCCGGGGAGGACAGGCCCTTGATCCTAGAAAGGAGGAGGAGCTCCCACCCTACTGCACGGGGGGCGCTCTGCTCAGACGAAGGGTTCTCCTCAGAACTTGGGTTCACTGGGACTGCATCAGGACTCAGGGGTGCACACAACCCCTGGCTGTCTGGGCAGAGGGCGGGGCCTGGCTCCGAGCCACAGGCAGGCCTCACCTGTAGATGATGTTGAGGGAGTGCAAGTAGCCAATGGCGCTGGCCACTTCAGCGGCGTAGAACCGGGCCCGGGGCTCCAGGAACCTGCGCTCCCGCTGAAGGTGGAAGAAGAGCTGGAGGGAGAAGACACCTGTGAGAGGGTTTCCTGGGGTGGGGGGGCAGCTCCAGCTCCTAACGTGCAGGGGGGCAGCTGGCCAAGTTGCCCCCTCTCTGAGCAGCAATGCACTCAGATGACAAAACACATGCTGGCCTCCACCCCATACAGCAGTTGTGGGGGACCAGAGGGTCAGCAGGAGCAATGAATAAGTGTGGACTGAGTGCCTGCTGTGTTCCAGGCTCCAAGCCAGGACCTTTCACATCTCTTATGTCATTTAATCCTCATGACCACCTTCAAGGTATCAGATAGATGCTAGTTTCACCTAAGAGGAAACTGGGAGGGGTCAGAGCTGCCAGGTGACCTGCCAGGTGACCTGCCAGGATCGTGCAGCCTGAAACTGGCAGAGCTGGGATGTGAAGCTGGGTGGTTCGAAACCGTGTTTTTCCTCCACCCCAGGTGATAAGATTATTGTCCAACTCAGCCCAGGTTAGATCTGCCCGTGGGCCAGCTGCTTGGGCTGTTTTGCTGGCATGGAAAGTCCTTCACCTCCACCAGGGGCTTAGGGATGCGGGATGAGAAGTCCCATCGTGGCAGCAGACAAAAAGGCATGAGGTCACACAGCTTACATGTGGGATCGCTGAGGAGACCCCACTAAGTTTTCCCCAGAGGGCCAGAGCGAAGTCTAGAAGGGAACTCAGCTCATCCACCTGAGCTTCCTGGTCACCCCCACCAGTGGCCTCTGGGGTAAAATGATGGCATTTGGAAACCTTGACTGCAGAGCTCCTCTAACATCCACCTTTCCCAGGTGAGCCTGGGCAGCTCTGCAGGGGGAAGCCGGTACAGGCCCACATTCTAATCCCAGCTGTGCCAGGTACAAGCTGGGTGTACTTGAGCAGTGAGTTAGCTCCCGAGCCTCAGTTTCTTCAACTACAAAACGGGTCTTTTGTATGAAAAATGTGAGATCATCCCAGAGCCTGGTACTCAGCCGCTATGTGGGAGGGACAGCCCCCAGCTAAGAGCTGGCCCAGGGGAGCTCCCTGGGGGCCCACCCACCTCTCCTCCATTGACGTAGTCGAGCACAAAGTAGAGCTTCTCCGGCGTCTGGAAGGAGTAGCGCAGGCCCACAAGGAATGGGTGCCGCACGTTCTTCAGAAGCACGTTGCGCTCCGCCATGATGTGGTTCTGCTGTGGGGTCACACAGACAGGGGCCCAAGGCATGGCCCAGAAGGCCCCACTGGTGGGGGCTGCCCTGCCCAGGGCCTTCCCAGGCCCCTCCTCAGACACCCACTCTGGCTCCTTATTGCCAACCCCAACTCCTTGCCTAGTATTCAGGCTTTGGTGTGGTCGCTTCATCCCCAACCAGTCCACGTGGGTGCAGCTCCAGCCCCCAGATCAGAAACCCCCGCCTCCCAACTCTGGGGTGATGAGCAAAGCTTATGTGATTACTGAATAAACGAAGCCACATTCATGCTTTAGTTCATGCTGTTTCCCCTTTCCAAACACCCTCATTTCAGACCTTCAAGGCCAGCTGCAAGGCCACCTCCCTCAGGAAGACCTCCCCTGCCCACTCCCAAGATGTCCTTGTCTTCTCCTGAGTCCTCTGATTTGATATTCAGCCCTTTCTCAGAGCCTGCTAGCTTCTCCTGATGGGGTTGGTATAAAGTGAGCTAAAGCCTCAGTAACTTCAGGATGGCTGTGGCTGGAAGGGCTTTCAGAGACTACGAAGTGTGACTCCACCCTGCACAGATGCATAGATGGGGAGGCAGGCACCTAGACACGGCCAAGGGCTCGTCCACATGGGGCCCCAAATTTCCCAGGGGGAGGCACAGGGCTGGACTAGCTCCTCCTTCAGGCCTGTGGGTGAGGTGTTCTGCCTGCGTTCTTTGAGAAGGGTCAGCATCCTGGGCACCACCTGGCCCCCTGCTGTGACCCCCTCTGCACCCAGCCCATGGACCCCCTCACAGTTGAGACACATCTTGGGAAGCCACCCTAGCCTGGGAGTTGAGGAGAAGGGGAGGAAATGCTTATGCCTGATCTCTGGTACCTCTTTATCCTTTAAGATGGATTTTTTCTGCAGCACCTTCACTGCGTAGAACATCCCGTCAGACTTGTGCTTGGCCAGTAGGACCTGAGGGAAGCAGAAACACAAGCCTGTGCAGGTGACCACTCCACTGATGGACCCCAGCTCTGGCCCTGCATCCTTGAATCTGCAGGTTGTAAGCTCCCTCTTTGCACATGTGAGTGACAGGCAGCAGGCAGAGGAGGCCAAAGGAAGGGAGATCCAGGCCCCTCACCGTCACCATGTCACTTACCTTCCCATAGTTCCCTTTGCCAATGACTTTGAGGAAGTCGAAGTCCGTGGGCCGGGCACTGGGGGAAGAGAGGAGAACACGGGTCAGCATTTGCAAGCTTGTGCAACCTTCTCCTGAGATCAAATCCAGACTTCTTTTTCACTTTGGAGGTGGGGAATGCAAGGAGCTTTCCTACAGCCAAGCCTCCTCACCGCTGAAGTGTTCTCAGCCAAGAGGGGTCTTATAAGACTGGCCCCTGCACCTGGGGAATCTCACGATCAGGTAGATAACAGGTACAGTGGGGAGAAAACCAGACACAACTGCAGAGAAGGTGAGGGATCCGGCTTCAAAGCCTGAGAAGGGCCCGAAGGGTGGGAATCTGCCAACAGCGTAGACTTTGGGCAGCACTCTAGGCCCAGGGCTCAGCGTGGGCGGGGGCTGGGGAGTTAGTGCGAGGTAAAGGTGGGGGATGATGCTGGGCCCAGAGGGCAGGGGGTCTTGAAGGTAGACCAGAGAACTTGGATTTTATTCCCAGGGCTGGGGAGCCAGGGGAGAAAGTTGCTTGAAAGACTGGAACTTACTTTGGGTTGGCTGAGGGCCCCAGGTTGATGTTCCCATTGGCCCTTGAGTGCTAAAGACATTTACAGAAAGAGGGAATTAATATGAACAGGTACCTACTCCTTGGCTCCCTCCCTGTCCCCTGCGCCAGGCCCTGATCTATTCTCCAACATCTCTACTGGGCTCCCTTCCTTCCTTCCTTCCACCCCTCTGCCCACCCACCCTCATCTACCATCTGGTCAGCTTCGACAACAGCCTTGGGTGGTAGCTTGCTGTCGTGCCTCTTGTGAAGGTGAGGAAACTGAGGCTCAGAGAAGGGCTGTCCTGTCCAAGGACTTACTGGCAGCCCCACAGCTAATACAACAACCCAAGTGTCCTCAGAGCCAATTCTGTGACTTTTCTACCTCATTTACTTCTTGAAGCCTTTGCCCAAATCTCTTATGTATTTACCCCACAAATAGCCCACTTCCATGAGCTTAGAGTGACCCCTATTGGGACACCCCCCACTCCCCCCCACCGTCCTGTGTGGGATGGCCCACCTGCCTGGCAGGTGCTTCTATAGATTTTCCGAGCTAGGTAACGATGTGAGCCCCCTGGTGGTGGGTAGGGGAACCAAGACCCACTCACCTGTGGACTAGGGGTCCCAGCTGGGCTAGGACCAGAGTCCATTCTGTAACAGTGGTAGGGCGGGGGCTGGGGACACAAGGAGGTGCAGGCATTAGAGAGGTGGTTGGGGAGTTAGCTTCACCCGTCTTGGGCTTTGGGTACCGCTGCCCTCTCCACCCCTCCCCAACCCCATCTGTACCCCTGCCATAGCCTGAGCTCCTTCTGCCCCAGAGGCCAGCCACCCCTGCATTGGGACAACCTCCACTGGGAAGGAGGGAGGATGGTCAGGGTGGCCCCTCCCAGGCTGAGTCTTTTACAAGGATTGGGGACAGCCCGAGTAGCAAGATCCCTGAGAGCTAGGCAGCTCCAGAAGTCCACAATGGCCAGGCTGGAAGGACCCTGGCAGATCATAAAGTCTGCCCCCCTCACTCCATTGCACAGGTGGGGAGCCTGAGGCCTAGAAGGGGACTTGTCAGGATGACATAGCTTGTGAGGGGCAGGCTGGGCCGCTCTGGCTCCCGTCCAGGTATGTTGCCACCCTGAATTCCCGGGGACAGCCCCAGCCTGGGCTCTGTGCTACCTCCCTGCCACAGGGACTTCTGCCCAATGCCCCTGGCAGGCCAGCTGCCTTAGGGGCCTTGGGCTGGTGCCATGGAGAGTCCCCAGACTGAGATTAAACAGATCAGCTGGTCCATGCAGCTAGGAGCACAGTGTCTGTCCTGTCCCCACTCTGTAGGGTGGAGGAGGCTGGCCTACTTAGGCCCTGACTCAGGGTGCCCAGGGCCCCACAACCCCACCCACCCCTGCTTGGAAGGTCAAGGCCAAGAGCTGATATTTCACCTGACATCCCCGTTGCTTTGGGAAACTGCTATGCAGTTTGTGAACCTCAAGACTATGGTCCCATAGCCTTGGCCCTTTGTGGGGCACGGGCTGCAGCCCAGCCTCTCTAGACAGACGCTGCCCATCTTTACTAGGGGGCACCTGGAACACCACCCCATGGCCTTCTGCGGAGCCGAGAAAGTGACCTCAGGGGAAGGGAGGGAGTCCCCGGGCTCTGTGGAGCCCTGAGACAGCAAGCTGAGGAACAGCCCACTGGAGAGTGCAGCAGCCTGGTGCCCTTGGCCTGTGCTCCTGCAGACAGCCCGCACTGCGGCCACTCCTTCTCCTGGGCCGACTCTGATGGCCCCTCTGCCAGGCCCTGGCCTCCCCGGGACCCCCGTACCTGCACCAGCCTGAGGAGGGGCCGCTGAGAGAAGCAGCAGTTGGAGCTGGAGGACGGGCTGTGGACAAGAGAGCCTCTCTCTGTTCTCCCAACAAGGGCTGAAGTGTCTGTGCCTGGCGCCGGCCTGGCCCCAGCTCGAAACTCCCGGCAGCATCGGGGGGCTGTTGATGTCATGCAGGACCCAGCAGAGCTTAAGATGGGCTGGGAGACCTCTGTTCCCTCGGGGACATCGCCTCCCCCTGGGGGTGGGTGACAGCTGCAGGAAAGCCCTGGAGACTCAGGGTGTGGTGGAACGTGTGCGTGTGGGCCAGGGTGTGTGTGCGGGTCAGGGTGTGCATGTGCAGGTATTTAATGTGTGCATGTGCCTGTCTGTCTGTCTGTCGTGTCCGTGTGTCCCTGTAGATCGCAGTGTTTGCGTCAGTGTGTGAGTCTGTGTAGGTGACCACCTGTGCTCCGTTGTCAGGGTGTGTCGTGGCCATTGTGTTTGTATAACTTCTCTGTGCATCTGTGCCTCTGTGACTGTGTGTTCTCGGTGTGTACATGTGTGTACTCCGGGGAGCCTCTGTGTAGTGTGTCCATGTGTCCGTGTGTATCTTTATATGTGTTAATGCGCTTGTGTGTATGAGTGTGAGTCTGTGTGTGGGCATCTACGTGTGTGTGAGATGAGTATGGGTATCTATTGACACGTGTGTGTCAGTGTAACCACGTGTAGGTCACTGTGTGTCTGCATTCGTATTGGTGGGTGCATATTGGTGTGTGTGTGTGTGTGTGTGTGTGTGTGTGTGTGTGTAGGGGCCTGTTGGGAAGAAGATCTGCCCCCGGGGCATACCCCGGCCTGGTAAACCATCGGGGACTGAAGATGAGGCCCCAGCACCCCAATCATGGCAGCTGAGAGCCCTTCGCTTCCCAAGAACCTGCAGATGTTTGAGAGGAACCTGGAGCTCAGTCCAGCTGGCCTTGGTCTTTGACGGCCGGGCACTTGGCCGTTGGGGCCTCTCCCCGCCAGCCCCAGGAGGGGGCCCGTCGGCCCGCAGCACTCTGGCTACACCAGAGGCAGGAAATGTGGCCTCAGCAGCACTGGGTGCCTGAAGTTCCTGCTGCCTGGTATGATGACTTGTGGAATATTCACGGGGTCCTTTCTCTCCCTGGAGCTCATGAGGGGTCATTTGGGGAGAGCAGGGGTGACAGGGCCTGACACAGCCCCTGTTCTTCTGGAACCTCCTGTGTAGCTACCACATGCCACACCCAGACGTCTGCAATTCACCATAGTGGCGGGATCTGTGGCGCTGGGGCCAAGGGGTTGGTCAGGGAGGGACCTGAGCCTACAGGCCTTGGGGGTTCTCTGCAGGCTCTGAAGGGCCGGGTGCTGGACGCTGTCAGCCAAGGAAGCCCGAGTGAACAGTATCAGAGCCCACCATCTTCCAACGGAATGGAAATGTTGAACCGATACACAGATGGGCAGGACGTCGTGTTGACAAAACACACGCTCAGAACCAGGACATTTCTTTTCAACCACCAGCCCCTGATTGGCCCCTCGCTCAGCAGCACTGTTTAGAACAGGAGAGCAACGGTGGCAATAGGAACAACCTGCATGATCCACCACAAGGCGCTTCGGCATATTGCCGCCGCTGAAACAGCTTGCTCTCTCGACCTTGCATCCCCAGCCAGATGCCGTCCATTTCTCTGTTCCCCTTTTCAGCTCGTCTCCTCCAATAGAAAGAGTTGTCTTTCCATTTCAAAGAGGTTTTCATCCCAACACGGCACCTAAACAGTGGCTTCCACGTGCCAGAGCCGGGGATGAATTCTTCATTGGCCCCCTCACTTGGCCTCTCAGAAGTGCATGGCACACCCCCTTCTCCTGCTGGGCTTCCTGAGCTTCCGCTTTCCTCCGACCTCCCTGACTGCTCTTCCTCCTCCTCTTCTGCTGGATCCCCCTCCTCTTTTTATGCTTAAACACTGGCCTGTCCCGGGGCTCAGCCCTTGGACCTCTGTCTGCACTTGTTTCCTAGTTGATCTCAAGCAGTTGAATGGCATTGAGCACCAATTACAGTCAATAATTCCCGAACAAATCTCCCTCGTTCTGATTCTTGCCTGCATTATGAATTTAAATATCTAGCTGCTTCTTTGACGCTTCGCTGGTTAGATATCCAGAGGCGCCTCGGACTTCGAGTGGCTAAAACACGTCTAGGCTCACATTCCTTCCACTCTTCCTCGGCCGGCTCCTTCCATCTCTGTAATGGCGCTGCCACCTACTCAAAAGCTCAAGCTGGCACTCCCACCCCACCCTCACTCCTCCAAGAACTCCCCCAGGCTCTAACTTCCAAGTGCACCCAGAAACCCACTGCTGCGACCCCTCTGCCTGAGCCACCAGCATCACTTGCGTGGATTATTGCAGTGGCTGCCCCACTGATTCTGTTTGTATCTTCCCCCAGTGCAATCTCTCTCCACCAAAAGCCAGAGTAACTCTCTAAAAATGTCAATCAGATCATGTGAGTTTGTCGCTTAAAACACCAGTGACGTCCCATCACTTGAAGGATCAAAATCCAAAGTCTTTGGCATGGTCTACAAGAATCCACCTGGCCTGGCTCCACCGTGTCCCCACCGCTCCCCTCTCACTGCACCCCAGCCTCTCGGGCTTTCTGGCTGCTCCTCCAACACAGAGTGTCCCCTGGCCTCCTTCTGCCCCAGACACCTGCACAGCTGCCTTCCGCTAATGTCACCGAGCCCTCTGCTCACATGTGACCTCTCTGACAGGCCTTTTCCAGTCCCTGGCGCCCAACTATCCTGGTTTGTCTAGGGCTTCCAGGTTTCCCAGGATGTGGGACTTCCAGTGCTAAAACCAGTACATTCCTGGATAAACTGGGAAGGTGGGTTGCTCTAAGAAACCGGTCCGGCTCATTCCCTATCCCCTTTTCCTGCTTTATATTTCACTTTTTGACACCTTCTCATGCAAGGCTTTAACTTCTGTCTCCAAGGAGAAGATCCGCTCCATAAGGGCAAAGACTTCTCTTGTTCACTGTTGACCGCCCGGCTCCTAGACCGGGGCCTGGAATATAGTCAGAGCTCCATACTATCTGACTAATGAATGAAGGAATGAATTAATAAGACAAATTACAGGACATATAAAGTGGGAAATCACCCAACAACAAACCAAATCGATACAGGAGCCTATGTAAAATGAAACAGTAAACATATATGTGCCACAGTGTCAAGCAAAAAAGAAAGAAAGAAAGAAAAAAACAGAGTTCAGAATGGTAGGTATACCAGGGACCATCTTTGTACAGAGAAAAGAGACACGCGTGGACACGAACATTTGTGTACAGCCACAGAAAACAGTCTGGAGAGCCACGAGCCAAGGTGACAGTGGGTTAGGTTATTTTTTTTTCATCTTTGCATCAGTGTGTAAAACTTCTAAGTCCCGGGGGGAACTCTGACATGCCCACTGCTCCCCATCACCTTGACTGTGACCCCCACACCCGGACAGCTCTCTGCCCGCACGGCTTCTTGCTCCCCTCTCTGCAGCTGCTTCTGCTGTTGTATCTGTCTTCTCTCTCCTGTGGTTGATCCGTTTACCCTGCCTGCCCAGGGCACGCCAATGGCATACCAGTGACATATATACCAAGTGCCAACTGGATCTGAGGTTTGGCCCACAATGCCATGGGTTGGGAACCATATCATCTTCCCTGTTTGAAGGAGGAGGACACTGCGGCTTGGAGAGGTGAAGGGACTCGATCAATTCCCATCGCCAGTAAGTCACAGAACAGATTTGAACCCAGGCCGTGTGACTCCAAAGCCTGAATTTCAGGAAGAAGTTAGAAATTTAGAAAAGGAAGGCACGGAGTTAGGGGGAAGGGAGTGAGGGTGTAACCTGGTTAGTTAGGAAGGAAAACAATTAGGTAGCTAAGAAGGTAGAGTCAGCTGGGAGGAAAGGAGGCAAAGGAGGGAGGGATGGGGAACAGAAGTTAGAAAAAAAGAAAATTAGGAAAGAAGGAAGCAAAGGACGGAAGAGAGAGTTAGGAAGAAAAAAAGGGATGAAGGGTGTTAAGATAGGTAGTTAGGAAGCAAGTTAGCTAGGTAACTAGTTCATCAATTCGGCAGCCCATCAGGCTGGCAGACGGGGGGGCCGCTCACAGCTGAGCCTCTCACCTGAAAACTCTGGGTCCCAGCTCAGGTCCTGGGGAGCAGCCCCAAGCACAGCTCTGCCCTCCTGTCTCTCAGCATGGTCCCCCCAGTCCTGAACTGCTGGAACAAACTTCTCTGTCAGGAGTGACTTGTCACCCACTCACTAAGACTCCCAGTCAGGCTCAAGTTCAGCCTCCAAGCCCTGCCAGCTGATTGCTGGCCACAGAGCCTTCTGGTTACTCATTAACTGCTGGGCCTGAATCACGGCGCTGACTGCACCCACTGGCTCCTCAGAGGCCCTGCCCTGGGAACCCTCTGAACTTTTAAAAGCCACTGCATAACTAATGTGACCTTGGTTGGGCAAGTGACTTCAGCTCCCCGAGCCTCATGTGAATTATGTGTCCTGTTTCACAGGGGGGTGGGGGGGGGAGGGTGTCTCTGAAGTTCCTTTCAATACTGTCACAGTTTTATTGTCTGAAATCTCACCCTCACCCTCCCAAGTTCAGCTCAAATGCTGACCTCCACACGGCCTTCCCTGATTCCATCGGCTGAATCCCTTTCCCTTCCTTGCAAAGCCTGGAGAACAGGCCACCCGAAGGGCAGGTCGCACACAACTCTCCCCTCTGCTGGTCCCTGATAGGACCACCAGCCTCTGTGATTAGCCCATTTCACGGACACCTCCAGGAAGGGGTAGCTCATACCCTGACGTGTCTGGCACTGTCTTGTGTTGAGCCAAAGCCTGCCATCCAGAGCTTGCCTGCACCAGCTCTATCCAGGCACCATCCTGGGAGAACCATGGCTGGCTGAGGCCCATGCCCTGCTCTGCCCTTCCGAGATCCCAGGCTCAGGGCCCAGGGCTCAGCTCTCCCCAGGTGCTACGGAGGGAAGGCTTTCCCTGGTTGATGCGAAGGTGCCCAGACTGAGGGTCCTAATTCAGGGCAGGGACAGAGCCTGGCCTGCTGGACAGGTAAGAAAAGCTCCACCCAGTGACCCCCTCCTCAGCAGGCAACTCAGAGTCTGACCACCACACTGCTTTCTCCAATTACATTTCATTAAAATGTCAACAGCATGCCCTGGTTGGTGTGGCTCATTTGGTTGGAACATCATCCCATGGACCAAAAGTTTACTGGTTCGATTCCTGGTCAGGGCAGATAGCCAGGTTTTGGGTATGGTCCCCAGTCAGGGCACATACTGGAAGGCAACGGAGTTGATGTTTCTCTCTTACATCGATGTTTCTCTGTTTCTCTCTCTCTCTCTCACTCAAGAAATGAAAAAATGTCCTCAGATGAAGATTTAAAGAAGTAAATAAAGGACTTCCGCCAAGATGGAGGCGTAGGTGGAAGCACTGTGCCTCCTTGCACAACCAAGTTTAAAAACAACAAAGTTTTAGCAACAAAAACGCAGCCAAACCACAGAAAATTGAACTACACGGAAGTCTGACAGCAACGAACCCTTCAGCCAAACCGGTAAGAGGGGCAGAGCCAGCAGCAGAGCGGGGTCGGGCAGGAAAGATCCACCGGATCCAGGTTCGCCAGCAGTCGTGGGCGGATCCCAGGTGTGGAGTAGCGGGCAGACCCACTGAGGGCTGACCACGGTCACACATTCGTGTGCAGATAAACCAGTGAAGGAGCGAGTGGTGAGACAGACCGCGCAGGCCCCAGTGGCGGGAAGTGGCAGAGGGGACCACTATTGTCCCTCTCTGACCCCACCCCCACATACAGCATCACAACCCAGCGACCTGCGGGGCCCCGCCCTAGTGAACATCTAAGGCTCCACTTCTCATACGTAACAGGCACAAACAGATCAAAACATGGCTCAAGAACAACTCAAAGCCCCAGAGCCCATAACTCTAAGTGACCAAGAAATAGCAAAACTTTCAGATGCACAGTTCAAAACACTGGTGATCAGGATGCTCACAGAACTGGTTGATTTTAGTCACAAATTAGAGGAACATATGAAGGTTAAACTAATTAAAATGAATGGAAATGCACAGGAAACCAATAGTAATGTAAAGGAAACTGGGTCTCAAATCAAAGGAGTGGACCAGAAAGAGGAAAAAAATGACCAAACAGAAAAGGATGAAGAAACAAGAATTCAAAAAAATGAGGAGGCTTAGGAACCTCCAGGACATCTTTAAACACTCCAACATCCGAATTATAGGGGGTACCAGAAGGGGAAGAGGAACAGCCAAGAGTGGAAAACTTATTTGAACAAATAATAAAGGAGAACTTCCCCAATCTGGCAAAGAAAATAGACTTCCAGGAAATCCAGGAAGCTCAGAGAGTCCCAAAGAAGTTGGACCCAAGAAGGAACACACCAAGGCACATCATCATTACATTAGCCAAGATTAAAATGAAGGAGAGAATCCTAGAAGCAGCAAGAGATAAAGGGACAGTCACCTACAAAGGAGTTCCCATCAGACTGTCAGTGGATATCTCAAAAGAGACCTTGCAGGCAAGAAGGGGCTGGAAAGAAGTATTCCAAGTCATGAAATCCAAAGACCTACAACCAAGATTGCTCTATCCGGCAAACCTTTCATTTAGAATGGAAGGGCAGATAAAGTGCTTCTCAGATAAGGTCAAATTCAAGGAGTTCATCATCACCAAGCCCTTTTTATATGAAATGTTAAAGGGACTTATCTAAGAAAAAGAAGATAAAAAAGATGAACAGTGAAAGGACAGTAAACTCACAGTTATCAACAACCACACTTAAAACAAAAGCAAACTAAGAGGACAGCTAGATCAGGAGCAGAATCATAGAAATGAAGATCACATGGAGGGTTAGCAACAGGGTAGTGGGAGGAGGAGAAGGGGGGAGAAGGTACGGAGAATAAGTAGCATAGATGGTAGGTAGAAATTAGATAGGGGGAGGGCAAGAATAGTATGGGAAATATAGAATCTAAAGAACTTGAGACACATGGTCATAAACTAAAGGGGGAGGGAATAATGGGGGAGAGGGAGTGTGTAGAGTGGAGGGGAATGAAGGGGGGAATAGAACAACTGTAATGGCATAATCAATAAAATATATTTTAAAAAAAGAAGTAAATAAAACGTCAACAAATTCCCAGTCATTCTAGTGCTTTAAAAGCTGGCTGCTTGTCCTGGCTGAGTAGGACAATTAGGTTACAGCATTGTCTTGACCTGGTCACAGGTTCAATCCCGGGTTAGGGCACAAACTCACCCATCAGCATGTGACTGGACCTGACCAAATCGGGGTGGGGCAGCAGCCCAAGTGCACCAGACAAATCAGGGCAGAGCCCTGGGTCCTGCCCCTTTCTGGAGCTGCCCCGTTACTGATCCACCAAGCACCACCCCCCTGCACTCTGGAAGCTGGTTTTTAAAGCCCCTGCATAATAATGAGATTGCCTAAACTGTACGGGAGATTTCCAGCCTACAGAAGAACGTGAAATAAAAGTGGAAGCTTCTCCTCCAAACCATCTTCGATAGCATTCCCAGAGGGAACTGCTGTTAACTAAACACTGACAGTTCTTCCAGACTTTGGCATGTGCCCTAATCTACGTATCTCATACACTTTTTTCCCCAGAAAAATGTGCCATACTATCCAGTATTCAGCCACTCACTTTTTTTCCTCACACACACCTTTCCATGTCAACACATGAAGATTCAACTTTAAAAAAAAATCCGCATCACGTTGTATAATGTGGGATTAATTTCCCTATCCGTGTTCCCTAGTCACTGTTCCTTTGCTGGTGGACATCCAGGCTGCTACCAATTTCGTAGTAAGTCTAGCAAGGCTGCAGAGAACACTTCTGTGTGACTATCCTGTGGCCTGGCGCTAGGGCTTCTGTCTGCGAACTGCAAGTAAAGGTGTCGGGTTCATGCTGACCTCCCTACCAAATTGCTGTAAAAAGTAGTACTGACTACCATGGTCGTCAGCAGGGTTTAACCTTGCCCTCTCCCCCAGGGCAAATTGCCAAGGCCACCCCTACTGTGAGGCCCCTGAGGGTACGCATCACCTTCCCATCTCCTCCCTCCTTTTCCCTTCCACCCTCCCGGCTCTTCTGTCCAACTGGCCAGTTCTGTTGTTTGGGTATGAAGGGCAAAGATAAGTCTGTCCTCAGGGATGGGAAGGAAAACACTGAACCAATGAGAACCCGAGTCCGTGAATGTGGCCTCCACCCTGCAATTCCTCAGCCCACTTTCCCGTGCTTACCTGGCCCCCCTCCCTCCCCCCACTGCTACCCTTACCTGCACATATGCTCTCACGGCTGCAGATTCCTCCACGGCCAGAGGGCGTAACAGGCATAGGGGCATTCATAACTGCCTCATTTGAAGATTTGAAATATTGAATACACATACCTATATATAAACATACACATGTGATTCTCTCGTAAGCTCTCTGTTACAGTGGGAATGATCCTTTTAATGCAATAACCTAGGTTTCAGTTTGTTTTATTTCATTTTTCCATTCTCACCTGGATGGTCGCTCAATTGTCAACCTGGCCTTTTTTTCCCATCACTCTGGACATTCCTTTTGTGTTTGTCTTTGTTGCCTCTGTTTCCTGGATCCTGTTTTCCTCTTTAAAATTTTTAAAAATTGTGGTTAAATCTATGTAACGTAAAATTTGTCTTTTTAACTATTTTTAAGTGGACAGTTCAGGGGCATTAAGTTCATTTATAGTGTTTTGCAATCATCATCACTATGTAGTTCCAAAACTTCTTCATCACCCCAGAGAGGAACTCTGTACCCGTTAAGCAGTAACTCTCTATTCCCCTGCACTCCAGCCTGCTAACTTCTAATCTACTTTCTGTCTCTATCAATTTGCCTGTTCTAAATCTTTCATATGAGTGAAATCATACAATATTTATCCTTTTCTGTCTGGCTTATTCTATTTAGCATAATGTTTTCAAGGTTCATCCATGTTGTTTATTCCTTTTTGTGGTTGAATAATATTCCATTGTATGGACATACCACTTTTGTCTACCCATTCATTCACCAATGGACATTTGAGTTGCCTCCACTTTTTGGCTGTTGTGCATAATACCTCAATAAATGCTGTCATATAAATACAGTACCTGTTTTCAAATCTTTCAGGTATATATTTAGGAGTACAACTTCTGAGTAATGTGGTAATTCTCTGTTTAGCTTTTTAAGGAACCGAACTGTTCCTAACCAGCCAAATTGTTTTGCACAGTAGCTGCACCATTTTACGTTCCAACCAGCAACTTCTCCACATCCTTGCCA